GAATCTTGCGGAGAACCTTTAGGACATGCGAACGGTGGTCTTTCTCGTTGTCGCTATATATAAGTATGTCGTCTAGGTAGGCGGTACATATAACGTCCAAGTATTCGCGCAGCGTTTCGTTGATGAAGTTTTGGAACGTCCCTGGTGCATTGCACAGTCCAAAGGGCATGACCATATACTCATAGAGTCCGTACCGGGTGAGGAAGGCGGTTTTCTCTTCGTCACCTTCTTTAATCCGAACGGTGTTGAAAGCGGCTACAACATCGACGAGAGACATAATCTGAACTTTGGCCATGCGCGCTAGAGTTTCTTTGATGGCTGGTGGCGCATTTCGATTCTTCTTAGTGACGTTGTTGAGTGCTCGGTAGTCGACACATATGCGGAGACCTCCTCCAGGTTTCTTGACGATCAAGACAGGTGACGCAAACGGGGAGTTACTGGCCTTGATTAAGCCCTTTTGCAGCATGTCATCGATATACTTCTTAACAGCCTCAGTCTCGGTACGAGTGAGTCCGTAGACATGAGGCTTAGGGGGCGTAGTGTCAGGAAGCAGGTCGATGGGGTGGTCGACTCCTGGTCTTCGTTCGGGGAGTTGATGAGCCAGATGAGGGTTGAACAGATCAGGTAGTTCGTCCAACACCCACTCAGGTACCAGCTGGCCAATCTGGTCTCTAGTCATGTAAGGTTGCTCCATCTTGTGCATGTACTTCTCAAAGTCAGTTTGCGAGACTGCGGCTACGCCGATGCCTTCTCGGTCTTCATCGGGGGGCTTCGCAAGCTTGGCCCAATGGCGGGGTTCCAACCATATGACCTGGTCAGGATGTTTGGCTGCGAGTGCGGTTGCAGCGGCAGCGGAGATGAGGTAGATATCAGCCATAGTCTCCTCAGTCGTCACCTTACCATCCTTGTTCGTCTTAGTAGTGGTGTCGCCTGTCTGGTAGTCTCCCTTGACTAGTTGTACGTGACTGTGACAAACTCCGTTTTCGTAAACCGTCTCTGGGAGTCCTTCGTGGAGGCAGTTAAGTTTGCACCCTGCCTTAGCGAAGGTGAGTGATCGCTGGTCGCCAAAGTGGAGGGCAGGCTGGTGATAGTCCATCCAATTCATGCCTAGGATAACGTCGTACTTGCCGATATTGGTGACGTAGCATAGGACGTTGTGCGTATGGCTTCCGTGTCGGACGGGCAGATCAACGGCCTGGGTAAGCTTGTCCACTTCTCCGCCGTTGGCTAGTGACAATCGAATGGGTTTGGCCACAGGCATAGTATCTAGGCGGTGTTGGTTAACCCATGACTGATTGACGAAGCATGCGCTGGCTCCCGTGTCGATAAGGGTAGAAATCGGTTGCCAACAATCAGGTCGCGTGAGAGCGGAGCCGGGAAACTCGAGTTGTCGGCTGAAGTCTTTAGAAGGCTTGCCTCCGATGGAGGCGGAGGACACGAAGTGGACCTCCGTCATAGTTGGCGTTTCGTCAGGGGCGAGCAGCAAGGCTGCAGCGATCTCGAAACGGCGATGCTGGTTTCGAACACGGCGCTGGTGTCTTTTTGCGTTACGCCAATTGAGCTCCCGCACGCGGCTCTGCGCGGGAGCCCCTAATTTAAATGCTCAAGTAGTTCCTCGTCGTTGACGTAGAAGCCATCGTCATCCACTAAGTCGTTGTCGTCCAGCGGCTCCTCAGTATCCTCGTCTCGCTCCTCTTCGTTGGAAGCGTCGAGAGCATTGATGTACAAAGAAGCCAGTGCGGGGATTTGGTGAGAAGGAGTGAAGGGCTTGCCGCGGCAGGGGGCAGTCTCGTGCCTCATCTGATGGTCATCCTTGCCACATTTGAAGCAGAGCTTCAAGTCAGCTAGACGCTTCTTGTCTTTCTCTGACCGCTCGAAGGCCATCTTCTTGTACGTATGCGTGCTGGCGGCGTTGTTGTGACCTGGAGTGTCGGGTGTCCGGAAGGTGACCAACTTTTGGGTACGGCTAGCACCAGCGGTCTTCGTAACGGGAGTTAATTTTCGGCCAGCGTCAATCTGTTGATGTCCCTGGTCGATGTGTTGCGCTCGCAGCAAGAAGGACTGGATGGTCTCATCCTTGTGAGATCCGGCAGTGGTCGCGATAGCTAACCCGGGTCGCATGAACTCGCGAGCGTATCGGATCTGGGTCGCGTTCTTGTGTTTGAGGATTCGCATGCAAGAGGTGAACTTAGACTTCCACTCCATGAACTTCTGTCCAGACTTGTAGCGGAGCGAGCCGTCGGCGATGAGGGTTTCGGCGTCAGCTTCCCGATCATAGGTGAGATACTGGCTGTCGAGAGTCTCTAGGAAATCTAGGAAATGGCGAGCTTTGACATCTCGGATGTGCTCGTAAGCTTCGCCTTGAATGCGGAACTTGAGGTAGTCAACCGCTTGCCAGTCCTCTGGGTATGTGCGACACTTGGCCACTGCCATCTCGCGCCACCGCTCGTAGTCGTCGTCGACCTTGCCCTTGAACGTCTCAAGTTCTGGGAGTTTGTAAGAGAATCCTCCACCGGCGGTAGAGGGCGCGACGGGCGGCGGTCGCGGTACTGTAGGAGCGGGGGCGTATGGGTTCGATGATGGAGGAGGTAGCGAGGCGTCGCGCACGGGAGTACGGTTATCCCATGGGGTGTACCCAGCTCGGCGAGGATCTTGTGAGAGTTGGTCAGCGGTACCATCTACAGGTCGCTGTAGCAAAACGCTTGATTGTACAGGCCGTACTGGGTCGTAAGATCGCTCGCGCCGCCAGGGGGTGTACGGCTGATAGTTGGGTTCATGTTGCAGCAGTCGGTCGGTGACCGTTTTTGTCTCACGTCTAGCCTCGGTGAGCTGGAGGTTGAGCTCATCGTAAGCCTTATCCTTAAGGGCGAGAGCTTCGTTCTTGTTCGCCTCCATGTTAGAGTACTTGACATCATACTGGTTAAGCTCGATAGAATAGCGATCAGCTTGTCCTTTGAACTTGTCGCAGAGCTCAGCGTTGGCCTTAGCTTGGTCTGCCCACCAGTCGGCGCTGTCAGACTCCTCCTTGAGCTTCTGTGCCAACTCTGCGTAGTTAGGACCGCTCTCCGGTTCATCGGCTCGGCGGGATAGGTCCTCAACCTTCTGCTTGAGTTCATTGCGTTCGGTGGCGGCAAGGTCGCGCTCAGCGGCGAGGGCTTTGAAGGCGGGGTCATCGCGAACGTTGGGGAGTTGTTCTGACGCAGCTTTGAGCTTTCCGATGTCCGAGGTGAGGCGTCGGATCTCTGTCAGCTTCTCCTTGTACAGGTTGCTGCTAACCATGCCAACTTGTAGTTGTTTACTGTTCGAAGTTTCATCAAGGGCTGCTTCAACATTCGCTAGTCGGTCTCGTAGAGCTTGAGTCTCTCCTTCATTGCGGTCCACAGTCTGCAGATGCCTATTGATGGCGTCAGTGCAGTTGCGTAGGGAGACTAGCGTAGAGACAATAAATCGCCACCAGAAGTCGGGACGATCCTTCACGTTCTTCTGGAGGTTACTAGAGTTAGTGACAGTGAAGTCGTTGATGTTGTGGGTGATGTTGCCATCAGTGCGGATTCGGCCTGTGCTAAGGGAGTAAAAGGCATTGCTGTGCTCGTCAGGGTTCGGGGATCCTCTTGTAATTCGAACCACTCGGTGTCAACGGTATAACGGAGGTAAACGTAGTTAGAATCTTTGAGGTATTCGAGCAGGACGTCGTTGATTTCGATGCCGACAATCTCGCGTGTAGCAGTCATGGGCTCTAGGTCGCCGCTAGCTGATACTGATGGCTGGGATGACGGATGGGCTGCCAGAAGCATGCTCTCTCGGCGGTTGGAGAGGCAAGCTCGTACTGGTACGAGAGGCGGGCCCATCTGTGATTGAGTAGGATCCTGGGAAGCTTGCCCGAAGGTGGCACCGGTGGCTGAGGTACCTTGGGTATTCTGGGTATTGGCCGGGTTTGCCATCGCGATGATCTTTTCGTGTGTGTTGCGCAGGGCTGACCGTAGGGTCGCGCTTCTCGAAGCTCGATGCCTTGCCTTCTGCCTACTTGTCCGTTGATGTAGGTGGACCTGTCCTTTACCAGCGTTGGTGACAACCCCCACGAGCAATACTTGCCTGTTGAGCCTGGTGTCTCTGGTCTTTTCGTGTGTTGCGCAGGGCTTACCGTAGGGTCGCGCTTCTCGAAGCTCGATGCCTTGCCCTCTGCCTACTTGTCCGTTGATGTAGGTGGACCTGTCCTCTACCAGCGTTGGTGACAACCCTCACGAGCAATACTTGCTTGTTGAGCCTGGTGTCTCCACCCGTGGGCTTCTAGCGCAATACTTTGCGATCCTCGTCGTCAAGACCTAACCCGTCGCAGAACGTCTTGTTCTGCCCGATGTAGCAAGTCGCAGTTGCTCAATCGGCGGCGGCGCTCGGCGCGGACGGTGTTTCTGATAACTGAGCCTGATGCGAAGTATCCTAGGTATGTAGGGGTTGACACACAATAGTGTAAAGGCACTAGTACACTGCAATAGTTAGGATGCCTCTAATAAGTGAGATTGTGTGTACAGATCTATATACAAGTACGAGGGGAACTTTATTATTCCTCGCACGGGCCAACTGCCAGCGTGGCACGTGATTGTATGGCACGTGATCGCGTGAGGGATCGTAGGTTTGATCCATCACAAGCCGCGATGGCATGCTAGATCGCTAATATTCTCTGAGGATAGAACACGGGATCTCACTATATGATTTTCTCTGGTCCAGGCGCCTGATGCGCCCGAATGCTGATTACAAGGGTATGAAGTTCTCGGAAGGAAAAACAGCATTCACTACAAACTATGGCCATGTTTTATGTTTTGTCTAGAGGAACGAATTTCTTTTGTTAGATTCATCGGCCAGACAAGGTTAGCTACGCACATCTTGTGAGGCTGATAGTCTTATTACGCTGAATGCGTGTTCTTTCGCTTGAAAGGACTGTACAAATTAACTTGCCCTCGCCTCTTCTCCCCTAACTCAGCAGCTACACTCAGCAGAGCAAATAAAACCAAAAGAAATCAAATTCTCAACAGAGCCGTGGTCATATCTACGCTCTAAAACAAATGCTACACAACCAACACAACACACGCACTCGTTCCAATTTGAGTTCGTCAGCACAATCCTATCTAACGCTCAGAACACTGCAAGTTGAACCCATTCAATTGGATTGGAATAGCCTGATCTGCATTCCTATCCAAGTCAACAAACGTCTTATCCTTGCCATTAAATTGGATGATATGGTTGTAATTCTGGAAAAAGCAGTGCGTCTTTGGAGTAAAATTGATGAGCTGGGCCGAAGTACCGAAGATAGCGCCTTGCTGGTCGATAGCGGTGCCTTGGAAGAAAGTGGTGAGGTTGCGTGCGAGGCCGTCGCTGAGAACGGTAACAGCAGCGTTGGCGCCCGTGAGGTCGTCTGTTATCGAAACAGTAACTAGGGGGAATGTCTCGCGAGGTAGAAGAGAGGGTGCTGCTTTGATGGCAGAGGCGAGGATGGTGGCGCACAGAGCGATGGTGAGTTGCATGGTGGCTTTTGGTAATGAAGATAGGTTGATGAGGTTTTGTAGATAGATGAATACACGAACAAGTAGATGTCTGGATGGATAGAAGAGAGTTCGATTGGAGTGCTGATAATGTTAACAAATTCGAACAGATGCAACCTTCTTATACTCTGCGATATAGTTCGAGTACGTATCGCTGTAGTATTTCGACATACTACTGCGCCTTCTTCACCGACACTGTCAGCCATCATTATATTCAGCTTGTTGTAAGCCTTAGCTGTCAAGTCTTGCTAAGTTGCTTCGCCTGTTTCCTCGTAGTTTGGCCTGTAGTGTCATCTCAATACAATGCGACATCTCCATGCGATGCTCTCCTTCTGTATGGCTTCCCACAGCCCTATGGATACCATAATTATTGTTTACATAGAGAAGGACTTTTGAGGACATGTTCTCCAGTTGAATGATTTCGAGACTTAGATCCGTGCACGTTACAGTTCCTGCACACCTCTCAATGGTGGATACTCTAGCTATATTCTTGGGCGTTTTGATTTTCGGCTACCGGTACGTAAGCTTTGAAATTAGGCCAGGTTTGTGCGCTCAGAGGTCAGATACACCGCCCATGGATTCGCTACATAAACCCTAGATATGGTCAGGCGCATCGCGGTATTATCACCTGATACGTTACGCTTCCGCCGTACTTGGCATCTATCACTCTTTTTCTCCGGTGGAGTAATCACGTTAATATGTCTTTCCGAAGACATGTGGGGGTGCCAAGCAAGCTTCTCTCAACCCTACCGCCGAACATTCCAACTACATTCTACAGCCAACACGACCTGAATTCTATCAGTCAGTTCTCGTTTCCGCTATGTGCTCTTTCGGCAGCCAGAAACCTTGGTGCGACTTGGTGTTGCAATCAGAAGGCGTTCGTATCCATTTTAAACCAGCGGGTCCGAAACACTGCCACCACCGGCTGTGCTCGGAGCCCAATGGTACTTCAACATGATCCAAGACCACAGTATTTGCCCTGGAGCTTCTACCGCTGAGCAACACGTCTAGATGCATGTATTGGCTGTGAGGCTGTGAGGCTGTGAGGCTGGAACGGACCTCCCTTGTCAGCTGAAATGTACGTCAGACCTGAACACCAATTGTGCACAGCAGTCGACTTCAGCCTTCCAGCAACGCGTCGGTCAGCAATCTCACTCGTCACATGTAGTTTGCGCCAAGTGTAATCCTTCTCGCGACTGAAGCCATGCAAGAGCGCTTTATCGAACCTTGGCGGTATTTCCGCTCCACGACAATGGTCCTCCACATCGCTTTGGAATGGTTTGGCTTATATTCTGCCTTCTCGTCTGACTCGATCTGACCAAGCTCATATCGTGGAGGATGTTTGCCTGATGGTCAGCTGGGTTATTCTGGGAAAACAACAAACCATGCAGGTGTGGTCAGATGTTGAGGGCGCAGAAAGAACTCCAGATCGTTGCGTATAAAGCACCAGGGCTCTTGCTACATGTTCACAACTACATCGCACTAATCTCCGCATATCTGCACATCAACATATTTATCATGGCAAATTTCACTCCTGTTCGGCTTCCTAAGGTCGAGGAAGATGAGGTGTACAATAAGAACTACATCCTCTACTGGAATAATGTCGGCTTAGACCTCAACCGTGTTACACACACCTTGGGAGGCCCTCAGACCGGTCCACCCATCTCCGCCAGAGCTCTAGGCATGCTTCAATTGGCTATCCACGATGCCTACTTTACTATCAAGCCCTCTGCCGACTTCACAACCTTCTTGACACCCAACGCCGAAATCGACGCATACCGTCTGCCCGATCCGACTCATTCGGACGATGCCCGCCAGGCGGTAGCGGGAGCAGCAGTCACGATGCTGTCGATGCTTTACATGAGGCCTGCGGAAATGCCCAGACCCTCCCCCATATCCAATGACACCTATGCCCAGCTCGAGTATATTATAGAATCCTCGATGACCAACGCACCCGGCGGCTGCAATACGGTATCCTACAGTTTCAACTTCGGCAAGGCAGTAGCCACTAAATTCTTCGACCTGCTTTTCCACGAGGAAGGTGCCAATCAACGTGGCTACACCCCCACATTCGCTCCTTTCAAGTTCAACGATGAACCCACTCATCCTGTTGACCTTGTCCCCGAGGACGCCAACGAGCCCGGTGGTAACATAGTTCCTAGACGCCAGTATCATGCCCCCTTCTATGGTACGAGAGCCAAGCGCTTTGCGACACAGACTGATCACATTATTGCCGATCCACCAGGCATTCGTTCCGGCGCTGGTGAGGTCACCGAATATGACGACGCTATCCGTGAAGTTTACGCCATGGGTGGAGCAGCCAGTCTCAACACTACCAAGCGCACTCCCCACCAGACAGTCCAAGGCATGTTCTGGGCTTACGATGGCGCAAAGTTGATCGGTACACCACCGCGACTATACAACCAGATCATACGCAAAATCGCAGTGGCGTACAAGCAAGAAGATAACCTGGCCGAAAGCGAGATCAACAACGCCGACTTTGCTCGTCTCCTCGCTCTGGTGAACGTGGCTATGGCTGATGCAGGCATCTTCTCCTGGAAGGAAAAGTGGCAGTTTGAGTTCTGGCGCCCGCTTTCCGGTGTCCGCGCCGATAGTCTTCGTGACCCTAAACTTGTAGACCGTGGCGACCCATTCTGGCTTACGCTCGGGGCTCCAGCTACAAACTCAGATTCACTTCCCTTCAAGCCGCCCTTCCCCGCCTACCCCTCTGGTCACGCCACGTTCGGTGGTGCAGCCTTCCAGATGGTACGCAAGTACTACAACGGGCGTCCTGGACTTGGTTCCTGGGCAGACGACGAGCCAGACAACATCGCCGTCGAATTTGTCTCTGAGGAACTGAATGGAATAAGCAGAGATCTCCGCCAACCCCACGACCCCAAACGCGACATTACCGACCAACCCGGTACCGTGCGTACCCGTCTCCCCCGCCACTTCTCTTCGTGCTGGGAGATGATGTTCGAAAACGCCGTCTCACGCATCTTCCTAGGTGTGCACTGGCGCTTCGACGCTGCGGCCGCCAAGGACATCTTGGTTCCCACGACGAAGAAGGATGTCTACGCTGTAGACGACAAGGGCGCTTCTCTGTTCAAGAATGTTGAGGATATTCGTTATAGGACGAAGAGTACAAGGGAGGGATTTGAGGGTAAATACCCCATTGGTGGTGTACCCCTGGGTATTGAGATCGCGAATGAGATTTTCGACAACGGACTCGTGCCTACGCCGCCGGAATTGCAGCCTGTGGTGCAGGGTATGCCGCAGCCTACACCGCAGCCTCCGCAGCATCAGGGGCCACCAAGGAAGATGGAGAAGTTGCCAAAGCCGAAGGATGAGGATCAGGTTCCTATGATGGATGTGGAGCCCTAGATGGAAGGATGTGAGTGCGGGATGATTGGGTGCGTCCTTCTTGGTTCGGTGTCTCAGTCATTCCCTTCGTGACGCACAAATCGCTGCGATTGATGTAGATTGCAATATACACATACTGTTATCCATTTTATGGTAGTGCTGCAGCAGTCGCTGAAGGGTTACACAATCGTGAATTTCTGCACTTTCGCATCCTTCTCGAAAGCTTCTCCAAACTCACATTCTCCTATTTCCTTCATCTGGGCGAGCTCCTACAATCGTGCGCATTAGCGTATAGAACACCCACCACCTTACTCAAAGCCGCACTGTAGTCCTCAAAGTAGTGGGATGCTTTCGCCACGCTGCGAAAGTTGCCAGGAGGGCTACACTACTAACGATAGAGCAAGGAACAAGAGTCTCGTTAAATACATTTGTGCATGCATGACGAGTAGCCAAAATCTTCTCGGGGGAAAACATTCGCATAGACTGAGTCAGTGACTCCAATTGCGCGCCATCAAAAATCATCGGATCGAGAAGCTGCCGATCCTGTTTGATACCCAAGATAGCTGTTGATGCGGCAATCCCGATACAGCCCCCTAGCATAAGTACTTGAGCCATGATGCTTTGCCCGACTGTTCTATTGCGAGGGTCAGCTTCATGCGCAGCCAGTAAAGTCGAATTGCTGACTATCAACCCGAAGCCCAAGCCGACAAATATCTGTAGCGCATAGGCTCGAGCTTGTGGAGCCACACTGTTTTCAAGTGTAGACAAGGCTGCGGTTCCGGCAAGAATGAGGGCAGCACAAACGACGTTGATTGGAAACGTGTTGTTCTTCCTGATCGATGCCGTACCTGCGACAGTCGATCCGATGGCAGAAGCACTGAGCAACAGCAGCAAAGCTACGCCCGATAGAAGGGCATTCCTCCTGTTGACTACCTGGAAAGGGCTTTGGCAGCGAGTGTACGATGACGATGTGATTGATGGCGGCGGCGATCACCATAGATTTACTTGGTTTTGGTTGGTTAGTGCCGTCTCCATCATCGCTCTGCTGCAGCGCCGGTACGGCTCTTCGCAGCCTCTCTACCTAGGTAGGTTGTTAAGTCATTGGATGAAAGGTAGAATAAGGTGTGGTCTTGGCATAAGTACGCAGCTCGGTGGGGTGCGCAACTCTGTAGTGTAATACGTTACTACAGGAATTAGGATACACAAGTTATTTTCGTACATTTTCTTCATTAATAGCATGTCATCATTAAAATCGTAGGGCCATAGCGGTTTGAGGGTCCTCCACATCGATGCCACACAAGGGGTAATGTAAAGGTCCTTCCCATCAGGCCACGTGCCAAACGAGAGTGGTAGCGACCGAACAATTTAAGTGATCCGACGATCATACGATCATGCGGTGGCACGGTGTAACGTAGCTAGCAAGGGGAAATGTATTTAGTCTCTAGTCCTCGCTCACTAAGCTCCTCAGCTTGACTGTCCTCGCGATTAAACAGTTTGGGCTCCTTGATATATGTATCTTTTCATCCGATAGAGAGAGTTCCTTACTACCTCAAGCCGACAATAAGCGCGCACAGTCCATCCTGCTAGGTATCGATTCTTCGGCAGCGCCACTCTATCTCCATCCTCGAACGGCAGCAGCGAGTAAGTCTATCGAGCGGTCAATGCGAACTTCATAAACTAAACCACTAGATTCTCCAGATTTTAGTGATCAAGTTTTCAGTCTGCATACCCGCACTTGATTCCCCGCACTTGATTCCCCGCACTTGATTCCCCGCAATCGTTGAACCATTGAATCGGATACACGATGCTATGCATCCCTAGATCCCGCGGCAGGCGAGTTTCGGATGCTCACCTTTGTAGCAAATGATGGTGACGACGAAGTGGTGCGCTTGCACTTGGAGACAATTTCCTGGATGGCCCAAAGCGCGTCATACAGTAAATTCTGTTCCGTTTCCCATATGCGACATAAGAGCAATCGTCAACGACTCAGTGTCTGGAAAGAGCATTCTGATGTTATATATTCCTCGGGGACATATCACGCCAGTTGTACGAATCCACAGCCATCCCATTATCGTTTCACGTGGGGTGACTACTGTGCTGTAGTAGCTTGTCACGTGTTCGGCGTTAGGGTTGAGTATTTTAGGACGACTCCGCGTAGAGGAGCTCGACATCAGGGGATCATCTTATCATCACTTTTTTGGAGACCATTCTTAATACTACCGATTGTTACTCGGATAGCTTCTTGATCTCTACTCTCTACCGATTGCGGGTCGGCAGCCTCTCTTCTGACTATTGAGACTATCCCTCTACCACACTACGCGACACTGTCGTATGTTTGGGGTCCGGAGGCCCCAACTGAAACTGTTATTGTTAACAACACTCCGATTGAAGTGAGACAGAACCTAGCGACCGCGTTGAAGTCTATTGCCAAGGATCGCCGTTTTGAGGGTAAATTTCGACTGTGGGTCGATGCCCTCTACATCAATCAGGAAGACAAGGCTGAACGCGGTCATCAAGTAGCAAAAATGAAAGACATCTACAACATGGCCTGGGATGTCATATCTTGGATAGGAGATGAAACAGACGAGAGTGCAAAGGCTTTCCAATTGCTCAAGGTGTTATCAGAACATAGGGACCATACAAGGGCAGCAACATTAATCGAATAGTTGGAAAGAGATCCTGAACGGCTAGGCGCTGGTTGCTGGCCTGGGTTGCAGAACCTAGTAGATCGGCCGTACTGGACTCGTCTTTGGATTATCCAGGAAGTTGTGATGGGCTGCGTTGCGGTGACTATTCGGTGCGGCAACGAGACGATTAGTTGGCTCCTATTTCTCCAAGGCATTGAGGCGCTTCACCAACAATTCTGGATTGTCAAGGATCAGCGCATAAATCACGATTGGCGACAACAGGGACATAAAGCCATTAAGCGATAGCCAGACCAGTGACTCTAGAAACTGGACGAGCTTGAGTCGCCTCATCGATATTTCCGCATCGTGTGAATCAATTGATCCCAGTGACAAAGTGTACGGAGTGCTGGCCATGATGGATCCGGCCATTACAGAGCGTATCAACCCGGATTACTTTATCCAACCGAAGAAAGTTTTCACAAATGTTGCAATTGCAGTATTCGAAACTTATGGAAACCTGGAATTACTTCGCGAATGCAACATTTGGGGTACAGAGGGAAGGCCCACATGGGCACCTGATTGGACTTGGCCTTTAAGGAATCGAGACGGAAGATTTCGCGAGGGTGCATACCAGGCCAGCAGACTCAAATCAAGTAACGCCAGAATAGACCGAGATAATCTACGGCTCAGATGTCAGGCGATCGTGGTGGACACCCTGGATGAAATTGGTGGGAGAAGGAAGACGCGATTCGAGTATATTCCACACTCGTTCATCCAGGCTGATAGCTCTTCCTCTATCTACGGAGATATAGAGGCCACTAAAAAAGCGCTGGTGCATGCACTGGCAGGGGATAGTTCATGGGCTGCACGCGACGACACTGAAGCTCGTATGAGCATCCTATGCCTGCCATCAACCTTCGAAAAGGGCCTACCTCAGTTTCAGGAATCTGGATGGCAAAACGCTATGAGGAACCGGGGATACTACTACTGATGGGAAAATTGGCGGCACACTAATCGCCACTTGTATGTTGGTGGCCAAAAATTGGACGACTATTTCGAATCCACCCTTCCCCGCGGCATGAGTGAGCAGAACTGCTGGGTAGTGAAGGGAGAATTCGAGAGGATGACATCCTGGAGGAGGTTTGCGACCACGTCAAAGGGTTACCTTGGATGGGTGCCTGAGTTTCTTGGTGGCAAGTGCCAAGTTCAAGTGAAGAAAGGAGATGTTGTGGCAGTCATTTTGGGATGTACGACGCCTATATTGCTTCGAAAATGTTGGGACTGTTTTCAGGTTATGGGAGAAGCCTATTTCATTGGCCTGATGGATGGAGAGGCCATCGGAATGCTTGAAGAAGGGCAACACAAGACCGTAGAGATTGATTCAATTTAATAAAGGACTTACAGGTAGTAAACATCCTGAATACAAGTGATATCCCTACTCGTTGAAGTGAACGTGATCTCCTATATGCCTATCCTTTTCCGCACTAATATCCAATGCCGGCACAAGAGAGCAGTGAGGAACTAATCCTTCTATCCTGCGAGTGACATCTTCGTCTTGAACGACCACGTCGTTAAGAACGATGATGATGACCGTGATATGTTCTCCAGCACAAGTAGAAAGACTGGCACGTTCGCGTTGGAAAGCCCGCGCTTTAGGTGGATTATTGGTTCCAGTGTGTATAAATCACAGCTTGATGCCTTGTTAGGACAGCTGCAGCGTGTCCAAAAGCCCGGGCAACTACCGCTCCTCGTCGCCATGCAGGAAGTTACAAGAAGCAGTCCTACAAACATTCGAACCTCCCAGAGGTAAGTTGATAACAACTGCACAGCGGGGATACATTCCCGAGTATGTGCAGTTCAATGATCAGGGCGATTATACCAACCCCACGACTCTTCAAGCTGAGTGATAGTTGAAGTCGGAGGAAATCCGTGGGCTCTCTCGCATGCGTACCACAAATCGCGCAAGCGCTCTTGATCCTCTCGTACAGTGAAACGGTCACCCACTGTAAATATTACATCACGTATCAGCAAATGGCTGTGTTTATCATAAGGAGGACTTACCGAGAGCGATAGCAAAACATGCGACAAACTTGCAAGGAAAGATCTTGTAGTTGGACTGAGCCACGCCACAAAGGGTGCGCACATTATCTTGTACCGTTTTGTCGACAATGGCACGTGAAGCCCTATGTCCGGGCCCAAGCTGGGGTATTGTTGGGTCGTGAACGATCAGGAGGGTGTGCGCTAGTAGGTTGTACTGCGTACCCATGACATGCGTCTTTTGATGGAAACGGATGTCCGGAAAATTTCTTCCACTCCCATCTCGATCATGGCGGAAAAAATATGGATCGAAACTGTCGGGTCTGCAATGTATCCACGATTTGTTCTCATCCATCAGCTGATTGTAGCGAGCAACTGAATTTCTGCCCTCTCCAAAGACAAAGTTGCTGACATCACCAAGGTGGGCAATCGTTCTTGTTGCCCATATTGAATCGGTGGCTGGTTCGAGTGAGCGATCGGCGGGAAATATATGCAGTTTGAATGGTCGTTGTGTCATCAGTGAGATCCACAATTCTTGTCGAAAAGCTGCCCAATAGATGGCCTGTCGCCAGTCTGGTCCTGATGTGGCGGCGTAAGATTGTTCTGCAGCACGAATGATTGCTTGAGTACCGAACAAATGACCTTGTGGATCGGAACCGATAATGGATATGTTCATTTCCTCTAGAAGTCGAAGGATGATGGTCGCGGCTAGTAGTGGCTCTTCCTTGATGGTGACGTTATCGTTTAATGCGGGAATCAACGTGTCAAAACACCGTTGGTAATAGGCATCTGCGATATAAGGGTCAAAGTCCGTGGTTCGACTAAGTTGTCGGGCAGATAGAGCAAGAATTGCGTTCCTGTGTTATTCATGTTCAGCAGGACGCGCTATAAAGATCAGACCCCGATGCTACGTACATGAGAGTACTGTTTTTCTTGGCCATCTGAACGATATGTACACCAAAGTGGTCTCTGGTATCTACCATGTCAAACTAGCGATGGTCAGAGAAGTGCATTTCCTTGACTCAATCAACTTACAAACAATGCAACGTTTTCGATGTAGTGCTGCAATAGCGTAGCTTCTTGCTCATGCTCTAATGGCCATAATACAGGCTCGCCAGGAGGTTGTTGATAAACGAATGTACTAACCCCTGCATCCTCGTGATGCTGGTACGTGGTGGAACCCGCTCTTTGGTCGAGTGCCAGGGGCAGAGCTTTTGGTTGACTTTGGATGGGAGACTCTGCGTTTAGTAGCGACAACACCGTGAGTCCTTCCGTGGGAATGAATACAGCAGATTTGGGCGTTTCTGGCGTTATCCTTTCGCTATGGTTGCTTCCAGGGGTACCTCGAGGTGAAGAAACATTTACAGAGGGACTAGTAGATGTGACGATGCCGTCACTGACATACTGAGAGCGTATCTCGCTCGACTCGTCTAAGAATTGTACTACCAGATAGCGTCAGTGGGGGCGGTAGCAGGAGCCAAGGGCGAATTACTGCGAGGAGGGAACGAAACCCAAGGCTGAGTATCGCTAAAAGCCTCTGAAATCGATGAACGCCGGAAGCGTCTACCGTTCTCATAAATACACTCTTTCCTTGAAGTTTCGCATCTCCCACATATAGGCTGCTTGCCATCACCTATCACAAGGCTGTTAATGCCCGGGTTCACCAGTCATATACCGTGGCAGCTTACATCGATAATGACGCGTGCGACATCGATTGCTAAAATGGTCAAGCTCTGTTCACCTCGTACTAATGCAGTGTAAAGTTTCGTACCATGGCATCGGTACTCGATTTGGGTATGCGATAGCGGGATCGTGGTGTCGTTATGCGGGCTGAATTACGCGGAATGTTATCTAGATAAAGACGCGCGACGATATTCCACTGCAGGCTCGAGATGAGAAAGAATCGCCGAGATGAGTGGAGCCTAGCTGTCCTGGTTGTCTTAGTAATGACACTCTCGTCTGCGCTTGGACGGAAGAAAGCCGACAGTCGAGGCCCACTTATCATCATTACCCCGCGACACCGAAAGACCGGGAGGCGGGGCAAGTCCGTCCGTGCTCTCCTACCTGGGTAAACATGGGCAATCCATCGCCGCTCTTTCAAGCAACTGGCTATTATAATCGCATCCCATTTCGTAAAGTACATCTTTGGTACTGCTTCTTTCAAGCCTACTAAATACCTAAGTATGCCTTACGCATTGTCACCCGAAGATGTGCCAAGCTTTGAAGGAGAAAAGCTCTACGTGAACGATGGTCTGCTTCGGCCAAATCAAGTGGGCCAATTGCGACAGTCAAGTCTCGATCTGCCAATGGAAGAGCTATATCGTCGGTACAACGAGGATGGCTATCTATTCCTCAAGGGTCTTCTCCCCAGGCCAGACGTTCTATCGGCCCGAGAAGAGTACTTCAAGATGCTTGCCCCGAGCGGAGTCTTGAAGCCTGGCACACAGCCGGTAGAAGGCATCTTCGATGATGCTAAGAACGCGAACGACTTTCCTGGAATAGGTTCTGGAGCCTCGCCAGGAAACGGCAAACCTGGAGATGCTACTGCCGAGAAATTCGTGGAACTCGCATTAGAAGCGCACTACGCACACTGGTACAAAGAGACGTTCTGCAAACATCCAGTGCTGAAAGACTTCATTGCGAGAATGACAGGCTGGGGTGATAATACCCTTGGTGTCCGTAGAAGCCTACTGCGTAATAACACACCAGGCAATAAGGCTATCGGAGTACACTATGATCAGATCTTTCTCCGACATGGCGAGCCTACCAGTGTCACCGCCTGGGTGCCGATGGGCGACATATGTTTGACCGGAGGAGGTGTGATCTATCTAGAGAATGGTGAGTCCCTTACGTCCAAAAAATGAGCTACGATCAGCTTAATGATATTTTCAGGTCACACTCTTGGACGTCAAGTTGAACTCGACTTCAACCGAAAAGCCGCAGAAAGCGGGTTGAGCGAGGAAGAAGCAAAGAACGCCTTCAACCAAAACATGCTGTCGACTGGGCTACTTGCCGACGGCCCTCGAGAATATGCCGATAATTTCAATCGACGGTGGTTAGTAACCAGGTATGAGGCAGGTGACGTGGTTCTGCACAACCCGTATGCGGTGAGCTCGCCCCGGTTATCGCGTTTGCCGAATGGTGCTCATGACATGTAGATCCATGCCTCAACTTTGAACTATGACCATAATAACGTGATTCGCGTGGGAACTGATCTGAGGTTCGTCGATGGAAGCAAGCCCTGGGATACAGTAAGTAGGTTAACTTTCTGGACATACCAAGCTAACCGGCGAAGCGTTGGGACAAAGACTATACATTTAACGACGGGGTCTAGGGAACCAGGCTAGCAGGGGAATTGCGCACATGATCTAACGACGGTTGCGAAAGCTGACATAGGTGTAGAAGGCTGGTGTCTGGGCCTAGTATTATGAAACGTAGCGTGATCTGCACTCATTTTTCACGCTTCTCCCACATCGCATACGGCCCATCATTTGATCTGTAAGCGCATTACTCTAGACTCAGAGAGCGAAATTGAAAATCTTTTCTTAATTTATGCATTTTATCAGACTTGATACTCGTCAAAATCTGCCTTCTTCCGCACCCGCATGGGCGTTGGCTTTACGACCCCAATCTTTGTCGTCCAGGAGTTTTCCGACCCTGCACTAACCTGATACAGCTTCTCGCTGAGTATTTCATCCTTGCTCTCCTGTATCCTCCCCGCCAGCATGTTCCTCAGTACTATAGCGTACCTGGCTATCGCAAACAAAACAATCATGCCACCCGCATATCCAAGCACATGAAGGATGATAGACACATTTCCATGCGCTGGGTTCATCCATTCATAAACATAAAATCCCTGCGCATACTGAGTAAGGTACGCAAGTCCGAGGTACATTGATAGAATCCCGAGTACGATGGAAAGGTGGTTCCATGGCAGAGGCTCAGTAGCGGAAAGGGTGATTTCCGCAGCAGCGAAGACGCTGTTGAGGGCATGAACGGAAAGATTGTGCCATTGTTCGAAGCGTCCAGGCGGCCATCCAGAGTTCATCGTACCCCAAAAAACGATGGTTACCAGAAAAGGCAGTGACGTCATAGTGGAGTAGTACATGCTGTGCAGTAACTGTAATGCCTTGGGCCAGTTGTACAGCCACGTCCTTTTCCGAAACGCATACATGAAGGTGTGTACGCTCGATATCATAAAATAGAAGCCCAGTGACCAGAAGGTGAGGTACGTGAAGAAGCTGAAAGACTGTCCAATTGCCGCATTGCTGTGTTGGACGCTGTACGAGCCGATGTTGACGTCTTTGAGTTTGAAGACAGCCGTCTTGTGCGCCAGCCAGCTGTAAGATATGATGATGGTTGCGAAACAGTATATGCTTAGCAGGGCGCGAATGCAGGCGAGTACGACTGGCGATACAAAGTGCGAGCGAACGAATGAGTAGGATGGATCGAATCCAGTGTTTGGTATGCCCCAGGCTTTGTATGTGAACATTTTCATGTTCGAGAGGCTGGGTAATGGTAAAGACAGGTAGTGGGCGTGACTGCAATTAACAATTGCGTGAGATGGGTCGACTCATAAAAGAAGGGAAGTCGATTCCTATCCAACCAGCAAGAAACGGCACTGGCAACCTAATATACAGATCTGCAGTCCATTGTATAGAGAACGGGTGTTGTCGCTGTCTCAGAACATTGCAGTCCTTATTTCAATCAAGACTCAGGGTTTCGATGTCAACATCTCAAGCTTCGCAGGGGTCTGTCTCGAACTTACCTAGGGATATCCAGAACCTCAACGCTATCGGCATCCATGAGTCAGCGGCGGCCAGCCATGTCACGCTCGCCCAGTCGTCACAGTAGTTGCTGCGAGCACTTGCGGCAGCCCTCCACACCACAACACGTGCCGTATGTATCGTGATTCCCTGAAAGACCAGAGTCTCGGCTCATCCCCCGATCTTAGCGTCCACAGGGTACTGCCCGGCGTGCGCAAAAGCATCCTTCGTCCCAACTAACTATTCGCTACTGTCTCTAATTTGTTTATTTTGAGCTCGATCAACGGTGTTGGCGAGGGGGTTAGCGTGATTAGCGCGAGCCGAACCTCGGAAGAGTGCTAGTAGATGGTCTGGATCTGCCATCACGAAGAAGGCGAATCATCGTATGCTTTTTGTCCGAGATGGTGAGAACGCCAATCGCAACCTGGGGATGCAGGAGGTGTTTGGAATGGATGATGCGAGTGGGGTGAAATTCTGTGTGGCTTGACGAACTGTTCAGGTGGCGCTCGGACTTTGCAACTGACGTCGATTAGGGGCGAGTTTGTGCCGTTCCCTCGCCAGACCCTGAAAACTCCATGCCCTACCAGCCCTCTACAAGTGCATGAAATACAACTGTCTGTTCTCTGTCGACCGAAGAAAATATCTAGCCAACGCATATCTTGCGCGTCCTTCTTCGAAAAAGCTTCAAAACACGGTCCGTACTTATTCATGCCTAAGACTCAACATGCTATCCTGGGCTGCGCGCTTCGATCTTGGTTGAAAAGCATCTACAGAGCCAGGTTATCGGGATCTCGCTCAGGTTCCCTGCTACGGGAGATTGCGTACAACGCGTGTCAATGATATTCCGTAGCTGGGAATCCCATTCGTGATTACCATGAATGACGAATATATCAGCACAGACAATGTAAAGAAGATTACAGAACTCGTCATCCCACACCCTTTAAGATCTCTACAAAGCGGTGCTATTCCAAAATCTTCAGAAGACTGTGCTACTTTCCACGATCAAAGCCTACACGCCTAGGCCATAGCTGCTTGCAATCTCGAAGTTGGAGACGTTACAGGTATCAAGTGATCCGACTCCCGGAAGAATCAAAGGTTAGCGTCATGTGTCTATCGGTTCCGCAACCGAAAAGCTACTGCGAAACAATTTCTCCGGCCTGAAACCACGACACACAACGACATGAAAAGGACGAAAAGCTTCATGCTGACTTTGACATGCGGCGAGAAAGGTTACATGTGCGACTGTCAGCACTGAGACTTGCCGCTGTGACTGCACATCAACCTGTCGGTGATACTGTCACTTATTGTTTGATTAATGACAGGAGCAGCGAATCTCCAAAAGCAATGTCTAATTTGTTAACCTCCTGATAGGAGACCGACCTTTTGGCATCACCCGGAAGCGTCTCCTGGTGTTGACTATACACCATTTTCGAGCAAAAATTCGCAATTGGATCCATCCGATGTTAATTCGGTAGCAATGCAAGTTCACGCCAATGCCCTCTTTCGAGAACTGGAAGATCAATCATCACAGCACAGAAGTATGGTCGAACCACACATCGTAAAAAAGAGACGACTCGACTTGCAAAAAAGTAAATGGGTATCATTCTAACCCCAGCACCAGCAAACGCGCGTGACCTATCCACCGTCATTTGGGTAATATTTTACCCAAAATGCTTAGAATAGAAACGCGCAGTTGTTCAACGCCGCCTTAATCTACAAGTGAACTCCCCTAATTTAACCTCGACCCTTTCATGCCTTCATATTCCCAATCCCAAGAACCATTCACTCAACGCATTATCATCATCACCATACCCTGTCTCGTCCTCTTCTAGATACTCTTCATACGCCTCCCTGCCCCACCGTCGCAGACTGGGTACGTTTTGCACCGATGCCACACTCCTATGCGGTTCACGGACACATTCGTACCCTAAGACGCCAATATCCCACACGCCACCACACAATCCACAGCTCAGTGTTGTAGTCGCTGGCTTCACCGAATTCGTAGCTGCGCAGCGAAAGCAAGAGAAGCTGCAACGTTCACACATTACACTGCCCTCGATTTCAGCAGTTACATCGTCGCTAGGCGAAGGTCTCGCAGGGCGGCCGCAGGATGTGCATCTCGCTCGTCCAGGTACAAGACCTAGTTTGGAGACGTCCGTTTTCCATTGGCGACGTAACTCATCAGGGACACGATCCAGACTTCTCCCTGAATCGCCGATTTGTTCGCTGGTGATTGTGGGTGGGGTCTCTACGCAGGCCGGAATATTGCATTGTGGGCCGGGCGGGACGATGAGGCTTTGCTGGAAGATCTGAGCCTGGGCACGGAGGAAGGGTGCGTCGGGGCTATTGTCGAAGGGGCCAGTGTAATTCGGTCCTTGAATGGCTTGTCGGATAGGTAAGCTACCCATGGGTACGAGTTGTAACTGGTTATTGTCAAGGAGGTGATTGGCTTCTGCGATACCAGAGTCGGGGATGGAGCGCGTAATGTCCCCGGCGGCATCCTGGATCTCGTCTTGCTCGTCGTCTTCGTATGGCATGTAGCGTAGTCTCTCTGTCTCTTTGAGCGATGTATTGTTTCTGCCTACCTCGAGCAAATTGACGGAGCCGTTGACTTCGCCCACCAGGAGCTTGCTGTAATCTGCACTGAAAGCACCCGACATAATACCGGAGTCTGTCGTAATCAGATCCTTGATGAAAGTATTCTCCTCCGCACGTGTGACGTCCCAGACTTTGACCACGCCGTCCGAAGAACCAGAGTACAACCTTGTTGCGTTCTCGCCCCAGGACAAGAATCGCACACCTGTATCTGTGACCTCATGCTTCACACCCTCTTGTAGCGGCATCAAAGATTCTCCATGGGAAAGAACACGGAGTGGATCATCGGGCCACCGAATATCCCAGATGTATGCCCGACCATCCGTGCATCCAGCCGCGATAAGATGCTCATCATATGGACACCATACGACGTCGTTCATATCAAGCGCTTTGCATTCGAACTCGAGGGGACAACTAAACTTTTCGGGACCATTGACATCATATAGACGAATGAGAGAGCGGGTGCCTCTGTTGACGCTAGCTCCTGCCACACATCCCACAGCGAACAATGGCATGTTAGTGCGGTTCGGATTGAACTCAACGTCGAACACGTTCTTGTTGGAACCGTGGATATAGAGTGAAGTTTGAGTTTCAATGTCCCACAGACAAAGGTCGCCCGTCATATCCAAGGCGGATTCTCTGGTGTTGGCACCAAAGCCTGCAAGTAAATAATTGCCGTATTTCGGTTCAAATTGTAAAGCTGTTGGGAGAATCTTCAAATCTGCACGTGAGACGGCCTTGTTAGAGTGAAAACTCCTCTTTTCGAACCGCGACGGTTCCTCTGCGTCAATTTTTAGCAGCCTGATGGCTTTCTCATCGACAGACCTCGCTGCAGTTGCCAAGATGCCTTCATGCGTACGATTGACTGATAGAATGTCGATTTGCGCTCGAACATTGAGCTTCGCACCTAAGATGGGCTGGACAGAGTCGGTATCCGTATGCCAGATGCCTATATGCTCATCATATCCTGCGGAGTACATGAATCTGCCAGTAGTTGAAAAGGCAACGGCACTGACTGTCGTGTACAACTTCGGATCTTGCGAAGCAAACATGGCGTGGCTAGAGTTTGCACCACTCTCCGTCCTCTCACGCTTCTTGTAGTGTTCGGCCAGTTCGTGTATCGTGCCATGCGTCATATTCCCAAACAAAAGATTGTTGGGCCGATTATACTGTATCGAGTCGGGATCGTCGACTGCAACCGCACCAGCTGCAAAGTGCTCGCCATCCGGTGCCCAGGCCAGGGTGTGTATATCGCTCGACGCACCTGTCCAACTTTTTGCTGGGCCTAGGCTATCCATGTACTTGTTTTTAACCTGATATGTGAGAGGCTTTGACGCGGCTTGCCAACCCCTTCGTGATTGGCGGCCCAGCTCACGTTCTCGTATCATGGACATGGTGGATGGCTTCTCAATGGAACTCATTGCGAGCCCAGGGCGAGCAGCTGCAAGCCTTTTGACCTGTGGTTGTTCGGCGACGGTGCCTGCCCTGGCGTCCTGTACAAACGCCTCAATACTGGACCTATCCCGAAGGGGCAATTGTCGTCGAAGCTCGTCCACCAGCTGTATCATCTTGGGTTCGTTCAAGCTTCTGAGGGTTTCCCTGAGCTGCCTTTTCAAAGTAGCATGTCTAGACCTCGACATTTTCTTCATTGACGACACCACTTTCTCTACTATCCTGAGTTCAGCCGTGCTGAAATCAACATGCAAGACTTCGTTTTGCCAATCGCGACTAGATAGCTGATCCCAATCCAGGCCAGTTGGGTGTTGTATTGAGGAACGCTGCGAAGCACTTAAGTAGGGCACGAGCTTAGTCGATGTACCGCGCAAGCCCTTTCTCCGTAAACTCAATCCTACTTTTGCGTCTTCTACCTCGAATTCGACATCTACTGGGATATTATCTACAGCGACGGCTTTGCTAGGTAGAGGAGCGTCTTCTTCTGGAGGCGATTCAGACCTTGCAAAAACTTCATCACTTGAATAGCTTCGAACGGCCTCCTTAGGCGTGTTGTCCAGGTCGTCTGCTGCGACACCTCGTTGTTTTGGCCAGGTATAATTTACCCGTTGCGCACGGCGTGTTCGCTCACGTCGAGGCGCAGAGTCTGCACCGGAAGAGTAGTCATGTTCAGCCTGCTGGATAGGCAGCCGGCTCGAAACTTGCTCCTGAAGCCGGGTAGGTGGGTTACGTACAAAATTTAAGCGCGGTGTATTATGCTGTAGGGGTGGCCTGGGTGGCTTGGAGGAAGGGCCGAGTGGGTGAATATTTGCCCAGTCGATGTTCGCTTCTGAAGCAAATTGAGGGGGCAAGATGAGAGTGGACGGATCTTGCGATCGGTCTCTTTTATTCAAAAGCGTGGAGTAACGCGACTGCAGTGAATGATATTGTCGATGAGGCATGTACTTGTTGTACTCCGCGGTGATGTCTGACCATTTGTATTGCTTGACTTCTTTCAAGAAGATTAGAAAGTGATCTTGAGCCATGTCGAATTGACAGGTGCCGTTCTTGCGCCGAGATTTTCCTCCTGGAGTGGGCTGAGGATGCGCTGGCATGGTGGGTGGAGCTATCCGCGACGAATGGGGCGTAACATTGCTAGTCTGTTCCCGAGGCTTTGAGACTGGTTCTGGGGGTTCCGACATATCTGAAATGACACTATCATTGTCCTCGTCTCGCGGCTCCTGGGCAAGGTCAGCAAAGTAGCTTGGTCTTGACGAGGCCTTTTCTGTGGCCGACGGAGGACGGACCTGTGCTGGACCTGGTATACTTGTTGCGCTCATGGCGATCTCTGGTCTCCGTGCATCTTGGAAAACGGAGTATGAGGTATATGTAGGTTGCCCCATGGGAGCCTGCGGCAAGTTTCGCGCCTCCTCTTGTGTGTGCGATGTTGTCAACGGAACAGGCTCACCAACATATCCATCAGGACCTGCTCCATTTCGTGCGAAAGGACTACTCGGGGATTTCCGACTGATATGCAGTGTACGTGGAGTGCTCGTGTCCAAGTTTCCAAGGACAGGTGTCGGTCTCGTCTTCGTCTTCAGCGCTCGGTTGATGTCTTGAACAGAAGGAGGCCTGCCCTCGGTCCCAGGTTTCCAGGGCGTAGAGCCACTAGGAGCGAGGTTTCGAAAAGGCGGCGGTATAGACGTTCCGTTCTGATGCCTCGTGTTTGCCTGCTGCGTTATTGGTTGTGTATACGCTGGAGCGGGCATAGGTAAGCTCGGAGTGCTTGGTGTTGACGAGGTGCCTGCAGCATCCATTCGCATCCTCTTTGGCGCCCTCTCAGCGTAGTCTGATGCACTTGTCTCAGCATATACATGCCTTGGCATAGGCACATATTTGCTTGCGCTATTCCCCATAGTGACCGCGCCCGACGACGTGCTCAAGTTTATGAACGATGTACCTCCAACGTGTGTATGCTGTGACGCTATAGAGTTTGTGTATGGGAGCGCAGCGGGCTGCGATGTGCTTTGTGGGAAAAGTGGGTATGCAGCTTCTTGTCGCGCTATGGCAGGCACGGGCCGGGGCGCATTCGTCAGTCGCGAACCTGTGGGCGATGCGACATGTTGGGTGTTGGAAGGGCCCATGACCATGGGTAACGAAGCCAGTGAACCTTTATCGCTGTCATCACTATCGTCGTCGCCGTTTGTAAGGTCGACTATTGAATGTCGCCAGTCTCTAGGCATGTTAAATCTGCCGTGTTCAGATTGTGGGGTTCGCGGGGAGAATGTGACGTCGTTTAGATTGTAAGGAAGGATTGATCTGAGGGGTAGAAACTACAAGATAGGAACTAGAAAGAGTGAGACCGAGCGGCGACGATGAGAGGTGTACTTTTGTGGACATGAAGAGCGCGACAGTAAAGTTGAATGATGGATTATCTGTTTGGTTTTTGTGGGCCAACGGGCGGAGAATGCAAGGGCTGATGCGACGAGGTAGGGACTAGAAACTCACCTCATTGCCATCGTTTACGTAGGCGGGCACGTCCATTAGAAGATGAATGTCTGTTGACAGTCGTTTGTCATGTTGGAATCCGCGCGCACCGCGTCTCAGCGGACCGCATGCATTAGCGCCGGCTTAGCGTGATTCAACTCCATCACCTTCACGAACTCACCCCCGCATACCAGCCAGACAAGCCAAAAGTGACAGTATTTAAAAGTTGGTATTCCAACTTATGCTGATGTACAATCCAATGCGCACCCCCATCCCCCTAGAAGCATCCTACAACCCTAGTCAGGATTGCTACTTCAAAAGACCTTGTCATGCCCGCTATCCGGGCTTCCCTTATCCGCATCCCCTTTGCCCTCAATATCCTGCCTGCTCTCCTGTACCGAAAGCCCAGTCACGACCCCCTCCTCACCTGGCTCCAGATTGGCCGGCACGGGCGGGCCTGAAAATTCCTTGCGTCCCCTGATGAAGTACCAGGCCACACTAATCGCCGCAAAGCCTGCAAACACTACACTGGCATAGTTCATCGTAGCGGCCTCTACTGGCAAACTAACCGGCATGCAAAACAACACGACAGCCAAGCAGATCCAACCAATCATAGCAACATTGATAGCGTATCCGAAGCGGCCTAGGGAGAAGGTAGAGTGGCGAACAGCCTTGCGGCCGCGAAGTACGGAGATGAGAATGGGCATGCCGTACGAGGTACTGAGGCAAATTGTAGCCACACCAGTGAAAGAGTTGAAAGCTGCCGAGGAGCCAAAGTAGATGAGGCCGAGGAGGCAATCTACAAGCGTGGAGAGGACCAGTGCCATGAGCGGGATATCGAAGCGCTTATCTACCTTGGCCCAGAGACGCGAACCGGGAATGGCGCCGTCACGGGCAAAGGCGTAGGTGCAACGTGATGCAGCAGTCAAGGCGCCGGTGCCTGCAAAGAAGAGGATCCCAAGGATGAGGAAAAGGAGACCGAAACCTCCACCCGCGCTACCGGTAACCGTTTTGAAGAGAAGGCCAATGGGTTGTCCGTTTGCCACGTCGAGAAGAAGTTGCACGTCGGGGAGGACGAAAAGTATGGGGATGAGGTAGATGACTCCAGTGACACCAGCAGCGGCAACGGAGAGGAAAATGGCCTTGGGAACCTCCCGAGACGGGTTATCCACTTCCTCGCACATGGAGGCCACCATACCGTAACCAGTCAGCGTGTAGGCGGCTTGAAGGAGACCCACGAAGAAGGCCCATCCAGCTGGCCTGAGAAAGTCAGCACTACACTCGGCTTCAACCAAAGACTACACTTACCATCCACTCTGACTCGCGTCATAATGCGAGAAAACAAACTCGGCATCTCTCTTGTTATCGGCCATGCTCAAAAGCACAATCATGATAATAACCACGCTGCTCGCCGTCCAGTAAATACAAATTTTGTTGATAAGATCCAGGTATTTGGCTCCAAAGATGTTAACGCTCATGCATACCAGCATTACAGCCCAAAACATGAGTACCGTCTGCCACTGATTTGGCACGAAATCCTCGTCCCAAAGAGTAATCGCACTGAGGATTAGTTGACCACCAGAGAAATTGATAGACAACGTCACAGTCCAATTGCCGACCAAAGTGAGCCATCCAGTCACCCAGGAAGCTATAGGAGCCCACTCCCGTGTAGATAGCATCGCAGACCAGTAGTAGACGCCGCCCGCCGTGGGATAAACGGCGCAAATCTCCGCCAAGGACGCCGCAATGCACAGCGAGATGAGCGAAACGAGAATCCAGCCATACAGAATCGTCACCGATTGACCGTCCGTAAGCGTAATGTACATTGTCGTTGACAGACCAAATGGAACCGCCATAATAGCAAACGACATGCCCAAGACAGAAAGCATGCTGAGATTGCGAGGAAGCTCCGACTGATAGCCCATCTTCGCCAGGGCAGCATTCGCAGCCCCGTCGTTGTTATGCATTGCTGTGCTTCCAGCCCTTGTTGCGCTCCCGGCGAGGGAAACGCTTCTCTTCGCCATGGTTGATGAGTCGTCGAATTCGGGATTTGTCGTCCTTGCCAAGGCCAGCGCTCACATGCGGCGAACAACGAAGAATATCGCAAAACAATGAGGGTTTGGAAGCCGAAATCGAAAAGGCGCAGCGCAACGGCGTTATAGATAGGCGATTCTTACCCGCAGTAACCGTGCGATGGAGGACAAGCCAGATAGCCTGGGATAAGGGGAATACGAGATCAAGTCGCTTGATTCAAAAGAGCTGTCTTCCCCGTTCGATTGTCTAGTTTCCCCGCTCTAACTAGTTACGCGCGCCCAGCGCTCGACGTCAAGTAGGCCGAAAGACAGCCCGATGGCTCTCTCAACGGCGAAATCGACCCTCCTAGTCCCAAATGCAGTGTGACGCTGCCCTGCTATCGTGACGCGCTCCACCCAGACTTGCTCAGCCGCACGTGGAGTTATCGACTTAAGCATTGAGATAAGCCCTCGGCATAACCAACCACGTTTGCACCCACGTGCAAAAACGTAAGGATTATTCAAATCAGCAAATCGGCAATCAAGATAATGGTCACAGACAAGATAATGGCGTCGCTTGCCTGCTTGGGCCACCCATGTACGTAGCATGTCAGTGCATGTACGTAGCATGTCAGTGCATGTGCATGCAGCGTGGCGTGCGTCATTTCCTTTTTCGATGGTTCCTCGGACGCGACTGCCGATTTGGTGGGGCCGGCACAGCTTCGTATCTTCTTTGTTTTGCGGCTTGGCAACAGGGCCACGACTATCATCAACGTGTACTTATTATCTCGTCAAAGCAGAAGGATTCAGGAGATAATAATGATCTTGCAAAATAGTAATTGGATTGAGAGATGAAGAAAAATGATAACGCAGAAACGAATATCTATTGTACAAAATCTTTGTCCAGGGGAAAGCAAAACAGAGGAGCAAAGCAAAACGAGTAACCCATGACAGCCTGCACTCTAATGCAGGAACACAGGTGCGCATTGCAGCTTGCGGCATGCAGCGTGCAGCATTCGTCAAGACCGTTACTGTACGTCAGAATGTGTCTATGCGACTCGTATGCCCAAAAATCCCTCCCAATCATACACAACTCCTTGAAAACCCATGAAGAACATGCCATTCATCAACTCTATCCCTCTTTTTTCAGTACATCAACATATCGCCCTCCCTTCTTCTTCTTCGGACCGGGTCCCTTTCTCGCCTGCGGCGCACCCAGCAAGTCATCAATGCTACTAGCATTGCTCATACCGGTACCCGGCCGAGACGGCGGACCAGACGCTGCTCCAAAGCTAGGGCGTGGCAGAGTAGGTGGTCTGGGTCCCACAAGGCCCTCTTCATCCGACTCCTGTATACCCGGCGTAGACGCGCGGGAGCCAGCAGAGTTCAGAGGGGGCGGCAACGACGAAGCGCGCGGGTTGGAAGTGGGTGGACGCAAAGCACCTGCGCCGGGAGGTCCCATGGACGAAGTACCAGAGATACTGCGAGCAGCGCCGCCGGGGGGACCAGCGCGTGGTGGCGGGGGTGTAGCAGCGGGCTTACCCGTGTCTGTAGCACCGCCCTTCTTGTTGACCCACTTTTTGAGCTCCGGATCGAAGTAGAAGCTGTTTTCTTCTCCAAGCTTGGCCTTGATGGGTCCAGGGCCCGCGTTGGGGTCTTTCTTGAACCAACCGGAAAGCCAGCCGCCCTTCTTTGCAGTGGCTGCTTCCTTGTCGCGCTGGGCATCTGCTTCAGCGGCTTTACGGAAGGCCTCGTCTGCTTTTCGGTCTGCTTCAGACTTGGAGCTGCTGTTGCCTCCGCTGATCTTCAGAGCGGAGGCACGAGCGGCCAAGTCGTCATCGTCGTCGTCGTCGTCCATGAAAGACTTCTTCTTCTTTGGTTGTTCCTCTTCCTTGTCATCCTCGTCGGGCACATAAGGCTGGTATCCAGGAGCATCGAATGTGCTTGAAGAAGGTCCGTATCGGCCATACGTCTGCTCATTCGATGTTGGACCTGCTGGCTCCGCTGGTTCTTCAGAGTTCGCCTGGGGCTGATAGCCATTAAATGCAGGTGCCAATGGCGAATGTCCACTAGAAGGAGTGGCCATGTAAAGGCTACCATAAGATGGCTGAGTTGGCATGTACTCTGGACGAAGCGGTGAGTACGACTGTGCTTTGGCCAATGTGCGGGCGCTCGGAGGACTCAATTGCGCCTCTCTTGGGCTGTACGGGCCAGAGTTTGGAGTCATGGGCATGTAGTTATCCGAAACCGCTCTCATGCCGACGCTGTCGTTGGACTCCATCGATGGTCGACCCTGGGGTTCGTAACGAGACCGTTGTTGCTCTGAAGATGACCTCGGCGCATATGCATTCGACGGTGCATACCTTGAATTGCCAGGGGCAGCTGGCTGCGCAGGTACACCATAGCCCGACATGGCGCCATAGAGATCCGCATTTGACTGTGAAGGCGTGAGGGCCGGGCTGTCACCGGCGATCTTAGCAAAAGGTCCGGCCTCTGTCCCACCCGACTTGTTTCCAGACGCGTCGTCGTCTTCTCCTGCGATAAAGCTGTTGAACTTTGAAAGCAGCGAGCTTCCCACTTTGTCCATGCTTGGCTTGGAGATCCACGACGACGAGCCGTCCTTGGGAGACTGCGAAAGTCGTTTGCTCAAGTCTTCCAGACTAGTAATGAAAGCCGCGTTGTAGTAAGGTGAGATAGTTGTGGTTGCCTTCATAGCCGCCGCGATAGCATCGCAGTATGCCTGCGCATCCGTCCTGTGCCCATTCTCCGCCAATTGATACGCATGCGCAAGCTTGTAATTCTGCAAGTGAGGGATCACATAGGAACCAGTTGGTGATGACAAAGAAAGCGCAAACTCGTAAACCTCCGTCAACAGTATTGGCTCAAGTTCGATGCCCATCTCCAGGGGGTGCAAGTGATGGTCAGCGCCTAAAAGCACAAGGTTGGCTAGTGGGTCATCGACTCCGCCAACTTTGACAACAGCGCGGGCAAAAATGAAGCAGATGTGCGCAGCTTCGATGCGGCCGTACTGACCTAGAAGCTTTCCGAGGGACAGTAGTGCATAAGCGTCTCCCTCACTCCGGTTGTTGAGAATCAAAGCGACCGTCTCGCGCCATTTATCCAACCCTTGGAGTGCGTTCTGCGGTGCTCCGGCGCCATCAGCACTCACCATTTGGAATCCGGCACGAGCTGATGCCGGCACTAGTTCATCGATACAGTCCTCGTGATTCCCAGCAAAGACCTCGTACAAAACAGCCAACGCCTGGTTGCTACGTCCAACTTTCTTAACTTCTTTGCGAACGAACTCTTGGACGACTTGCTTCCATGTGTCCTTGCTAAGAGTCGAGGAGAGTAGCATGGCATGGCCCCATAATCGATGGTCGACAGCATGCCAGACGGCCTTCTCACGATCACCCTTGATAAGCATACTTTGTAGATCTTCCACCACTCGCGGATCCGAGGGTTCTGCTTGGCCGTTCAAAGTGTTAGTTCTCGACCGCCCGACGATGTCTGCACCACTCGAATATGAGCCTTCCGCATCGGTAGGGTCATCAACTACTGGCGACAGTAGCTTCTTGACAGCAGCTTCGGCAGGTATACCTTCCAACTTGCCATCGTTGTCAATCAGTACCTGCATGAGCTTCCATAAAAGAGTTCTGTCCTCAAGGCGTTTGATCTCGTCTTCACTGAGCGAATGCTCAAGCCCGGGTGCCTTGGACTGGCTGTCTAGTGTTTCGATCTTGCGACCTAACCAGGCAGAAACGTCCTTTTTCTTGCCCTTGGCCTTGAGCGGCCCTGGAAACTTGGCAACGTCTTCTGGTAGAGGGAGGACCTCCTTGATGCTCTGAATGTTGATCTCGCCGGGGTTGCTCTTCATCATTGGTGCTGAGCCTCCCCCACCGTATCGAGGAATTTGCTTCGGGAAGCTCGTCACAACGTTACCACCTAACCCCCAAGTAAACACGGGATGCCCTTTCCATCTTTCAAGCGGATCACTCGCACGTTCGTCTTCGGGGAGGATGAAATCGTAGGTCGCGGATACCTGGCGGCGTTGAGGAATGACATTGGCAGTGTTAGACACCGCAAGGGACGTGCCATAGCCCATTGTAGGTGGCATCATACCATATCCGGCGTGGTCCGAGGTACTTAGACTACGCACGGGTTGCTTCATAGTCGATGTTGGAGACTGAGACTGGGAGCGTTGTGGAACCGCTGGTTGCACTGGCTGATAACGTGGTGTGTAGGCGTCTCTCTTTCGTGGTGAGCTGACTAACGATGAAGCTGCACTTCGCGGAGGGGGAGGAGTTTCTGATCTTCCCGACGTTGGCGGTCGTGAGCTCAAGGTTGGCTCTGGCTCTGGCTCCTCAATCTCGCTGACCTCTCCCAGCGGACTCCTGGCTGGGGGCCGAGATATGCCATCAGCAGACTGTGAAACCTGGTGGTTCGGTGCATGCTGGACGTAGGTTTCAGGTGCCTGGCCCTGTTGTTGTGGCACGCTATGAAACGCTAATGGACTTGAAGTTCTGGGTGCAAACGGCTGCGATGTAGTCCGCGTCAAGTTGTTGAGTGGTTCGGATGAGTACCTAGCATGAGGCTGTCCTGGTTGTGGCGGTGCAGGTGAGTATCTTGAATTTGCTGCAGGAGCAGCTGGTGCACTTGGTGCACTTGGAGATGCCGGGGAGTATCGCGCATTGGCAGCTGGCCCTGATGGAGGAGGAGCAGGTGAGTATCTACTTGTAGTCGGTGCAGATACAGGCTGAGGTACAGGAAGGCTGTTGGTCCGCGTAGGTACGGACGGCTGGGTAGGAAACATGGGTAATTGCTCAGGTTGTCTGAACGGAGGAGGCGTGGCAACATTGCTTGCATCAGGAAGAATCTCGTTCCTCAAAGACGACCAGGAAGCTGTGCGTTCTTTCTGTGCCATTTGAGGATGGTGGACTGGAGGCATCTGGGGCGGCGTTTGGTGGGGCGGAGCCTGATGAGGTGGAGGCTGGACAGGCTGGACAGGCACATTCGGCTGTGGAGTGTAACGCCCTGAAGGCCGTGGCTTAGTCGTCACAGGCAACTCGGCGAAGAAATCGCTTGAAGGCGACTTTGATGTTGATGCGGGTTTTGGTGGCGCAACTGGAGGCATGCCAGTCATCTGTGCTCGCATAGATTGACCAGAAGACGGAGGAGACAGGCTGGACACGGACATGCTCGACGAAAAAGGAGGCCGCGGGGGTCCAGTGTTGGAGTTGACACTGCTGGTGCGCGGAGGTGGAGGGGTGGGTTGTACAGCTGAGACTGTCGTTCGAGGTGCCGGTCGTTTGCGGGTAGTAATGATATCTTCCGGTAGGTCATAGGGTGAAGCGTAGCCTCCTTTGGACTTGTCTACAAAACTCTGTGCCGAGTTCGCCATTGGAGGTCGGGGCTGCTGTTGTTGATACACGACATTTTGACCGAAACCATTATAGGCCGGTGCAACCGCAGGCATTTGTTGTGCTGGAGATGCGTACGGGTTTGCAACAGGGGCTGGAGATGATATTGGACCTGTAACTTGCGGCGCATATCTTGACGAAGTCACTGTGGGAGTTGGCTGTACTGGCTGCTGCGCCGGCATAGCAGGTTCCTCGTCGAGGAAGCCTTCATCGTCGCTCAATTCAAAGGCCGGTGTCTCTTCCTTGTCGGGTAAAAAGTCATCGTCCAGATCCAGATCCAAGTCCCATTCACTCTTCTCGGGGGCCTTTGTTCCAGTTTCCACTATATGCGCGCCCGGACTTTGGTCATTGGGCTGTGCGGGTTCGATTTGCTGGCTAGCACTCGCGATTACGCCGAAGAAGTCGTCCTGGCCTTCTGTATTCCCCCAGTCAATGTCGGCTCCTGTGTTGCCGCCTACTGTGGTATTCCCGATGGCGTCATCTCCTACTGTCGTCCCAACAGCCTCAGCCAGAGGTGTCTCTAAAGGTGTTTCTTGTTGCCCTACGCCGAGATCGAATGCGTCGTCGCCTGAAGCGCCCCATTCATCCGCTTCCGTGTCTGCTACAAGAGGCACTTTTACACTCTCCGTCATGGCGTCTTCCAGAGCTGTACTTTCCCCCTGATGCTCATAGTTCTCCTCCGGATGTTCCTCATGCGCCGCCGCCGCCGCCGCCTCCTCTTCTGAACTTTCCTCCTCGCTCTCTTCCCCGTCTGACGCATCCTCTTCGCTTGATTCATGCTGAGCGGGTATGGGTGCAAGTGCAGGCGCAGGCGCGGGCGCGGGTGCGGATACGGGCGCGGGTGTCGGTTGCGGTGCAGCTTCCGCCTCCATTATGTCGAGCGCCTCTATTGCGCTGACCAGATCCTCCTTTTTCGCAACTTCTGCTTCACCCTCCTGGGGCTGTAGCACTTGAGGCTGTTGTGTGATATGCGGTACGTGAGAGGCATTGTTGTGTGCTGAAGCCTCGTCGGTCAGCGGTGCCTCGGCCTCGTCCTCATCTTCGCTCTCCTCCTCGCCTGATTCCTCGTCATCATCCTCTTCTTCCTCTTCGCTCTCCTCCTCCTCCTCCTCCGACGATGGATGGGCCTCGGGCTTTGTCTGGGGTTTCTCGATCACGGGCGGACTGCTAACTGGCGGGCTGCTGACGTCCTTCTCGTTGCGCAACGCGGGATTCCACGATGCGGTTGTGGGGGTCGAGGGCGCGCCACCGTAGGCATAGGAGAAGTTTGGGGCGTCGTCTTCCATTACGGGATTATGGGTGGCTTAGAGCCTATACAAGTACTGCGGGGTCAATTAGTTGTGAAGTGAGGTTTGGGTGTTAATTGCGGCTCCCCCATACGTACGGCAGAAGGTGCTGAGTGTGTTGCAGTGGCGATTCTGCATAAAGTTAAATGAATTAAAAGTCGGAGGAAATTTCGAGCGACATTGTTTTGTGCCAGTCTTGAGGTTCGATATGGAGAGAGATATTGGGTAACTAGATGTTGGTCGAGACCCAGTTACCGTGGCCTCTCTGCGCCACACGCGCATCCTCGCGAACAGCCACACCAGACCTCTCCACGTCACTCTACGACTTGTCACTCACAAATTCCAGAAGCGCCAAACAAGTATTGTATTAGGTATCACTGCTCAACCCTACTCGAGTCGGAACTCTGTTCGCCTACGCCCGAAACCGCCGCAGACCCCCGAAGACAGATTTAATAGCCCAGAGCACCCGCAAGCTCGTCGCATATGTAGAGGTAGAGCAAGCTTCGAAGAGCAGCTCGCAATCCTCAGCGCTACGTCGCTATCCTCGCTGGCCCATGAGCCATGGCTGCACCCCACAACTATCACCAGCCAAATGCGCCCGACGACGACGACTCGGACCTGGAACTTGATCTAGACGAACTTGACCCCATCCCTTCACAGTCGGCCGCCACACCACCACAGCGCCAGTCGAAAGAGCAACGGAGACCGTATCATGAGTTGGGCGCAAGGATACCGCTGCGGAACCTACGTGTAGGCAGGCTCCGAGCAAACAAGAGGAAGGAGGAGCCCGAGGAGGAGGACTTGGCCGGCCTCCTGGACGATGACGAAGGGACCAAGCGAGACTCTGCTGGTAGCTATGGCCAGTCTGGCGATGACGATGCGCCTCTTCTCCAACCCACGGCGCGGAAAAGACGGCAACCGCCGCCCAGTGCATTACAACGCCTAGGGTCCAACATACGTCTCCCGAGCTTCCTCTCGCGCCAGAACAACGCGGCCATACAATTAGGCGACGACCATGGAGAAGAATATGCAGAAGAGGAGCATGATCCCACCACACAGCGGACCATCGCCGTCGGTCAGCCCCAAACCTCCAAATTCCCCGCAAACGCCGTTTCAAACGCAAAGTACACGCCCTGGAGTTTCCTTCCTCGCACCCTCTACAACGAATTCTCCTACTTCATCAACATGTATTTTCTACTTATTTCTTTCTCTCAGACCATACCCGTGCTTCGAATCGGCTTCCTCTCGGCCTACATTGCACCCTTGTCCTTTGTTTTGACCATCACCCTGACCAAGGAGGCTCTTGATGACATCTCGCGGCGGCGGAGGGATGCAGAAGCGAACTCGGAAGGCTACACGGTGCTCAAGTTTGAGGAGAATAGCGTTGGAAATGGCGTTGCGCCAGGCAGGAACTCGCAGAAAAAGAAGCGTCTAAGGAAGCAGAGGAAGCAGGATAACCGTGCGGCAGACATTGCAGATGAGGAGCAGCAACTTTCAGGCAAAGGGCTTGCAACATGCACCTACTGGGAAACCATCAAATCGTCTAGGAATCTCAAAGTGGGAGACGTTGTGAAGCTTGGCAAAGATCAAAGAGTGCCTGCCGACATGATTATTCTCAAAAGTTACTCCGCCGATGGTTCTGCGCTAGAATCTGATAGGCCCGCCCTACAGGAGTCTGTTCCCTCGCTCATCGACGATGCCGACTCTGAAAACACGCCAAAGGTCGACAGTGTCGCCGCTACTGGATCGTCTGGTGAAGCCTTCATCCGTACTGATCAGCTGGATGGTGAAACCGACTGGAAGCTGCGTCTAACCTCGCCACTCACGCAGAACCTGGACGTTGGAGAGTACACCCGCCTCCGAGTCGTTGCTGGTAAACCGGACAAAAAGGTCAATGAGTTCTATGGCACACTCGAACTCCCGCCCAAGAGCTCACGACACTATGACCTTCCAGATAACGAAGTGGCCTCTCCACCCGAGCCGGTAAAGTCAGCGTCTCTTGGTATTGACAACACCATCTGGGCAAACACAGTCGTGGCCTCGAGTGGCAGCCTTCTTGCTGTTGTTGTATATACTGGTCCTCAAACACGTCAAGCTCTTTCCACCTCGCCTTCCAGGTCGAAGATTGGCTTGTTGGAGCTGGAAATCAACGCTTTGACCAAATGGCTGTGCATCTTCACCGTCTCGCTTTCTTTTATTCTCGTAGCACTCGCCGGTTTCAGAGAAATTGAAGGCCGCCCATGGTGGGCTTCCATGCTACGTTTCGTCATTCTCTTCTCCACAATCGTCCCCGTCGGTCTGCGTGTCAACCTTGATCTCGGCAAATCTGTGTATGCATGGTTCATTCATCACGATGAGAGCATCAAAGGGACAATTGTCCGCACAAGTACCATTCCAGAGGATTTGGGCAGAATCGAGTACCTTTTGAGTGACAAGACGGGTACTCTCACACAAAACGGTATGTTCTTTGCAAATATTGACTATACTTGGCTAACATCCTGAAGAGATGGTAATGAAGAAAATTCATGTCGGTACGGTTTCCTACGCAAACGAAGCCATGGACGAAGTATCCGCCTATGTTCGCCAATGCTTCACGCCTCCAGCTGGAGAAGTGCCCTCCCTTGTGACTCCATCATCGGCCTACACTGCGGCTCTTACATCAACCACTCGCACAAGAAGAGAGATCGGCTCGCGGGTCCGTGATGTAGTGCTAGCTCTCGCGCTCTGCCATAACGTAACACCGACTACCGAAGAAGAAAACGGTGAAACGGTCACCACTTACCAAGCGTCGTCACCAGACGAAATTGCTATTGTGCGATGGACGGAAGCTGTTGGCCTGAAACTTCTAACTCGAGACCGCGAGTCAATGACCCTCCTTTCGTGCGATAGTGGCAACACGGTGGTTAAAGTGCGTATCTTGAATGTATTTCCTTTTACTTCTGAAGGCAAGCGCATGGGTATTGTCGTCAAGTTCTACCATGGCCCCCCCTCTTCATCGGCGGAAGACGATGGCGAAATCTGGTTCTACCAGAAGGGTGCCGATACAGTCATGACATCAATCGTCGCTGCAAACGACTGGCTGGATGAGGAAACTGCAAACATGGCCCGAGAAGGGCTGCGCACTCTCGTAGTCGGTCGCAAGAAGCTTTCGGCACAAATCTACCAAGAATTCTGTACCAAACACGCACAAGCATCACTCGCCCTCAGCAACCGCGACGCCGTCGTCGCCAACGTAGTCAAAGAATTCCTGGAGCACGATCTTGAGCTCCTAGGCGTCACCGGCGTAGAAGACAAGCTCCAAAAAGACGTCAAGCCATCACTCGAACTCCTCCGCAACGCCGGTATCAAGATCTGGATGTTGACCGGCGACAAGGTAGAAACGGCTCGCTGTGTAGCCATCTCCTCTAAACTCGTTGCTCGCGGCCAATACGTCCACACCATCGCCAAGCTAAAACGGAAGGACCTTGCCTCTTCCTCCCTCGACTTCCTCCGCGGAAAACTGGACGCCTGTCTCCTCATCGACGGTGAATCACTCGCCCTCTTCCTCCAGCACTTCCGCCAAGAGTTCATCTCTGTTGCCGTCCAGCTCCCGACCGTTGTCGCCTGTCGATGCTCACCCACACAAAAAGCCGACGTCGCCCTACTCATTCGCGAATTCACAAAGAAGCGCGTCTGTTGCATCGGCGACGGCGGCAACGACGTCTCCATGATTCAGGCCGCCGACGTAGGCGTCGGCATCGTCGGAAAAGAAGGTCGCCAAGCCTCACTCGCCGCCGACTTTTCCATCGACCAATTCTGCTACCTCGTCAAACTGCTCGTCTGGCACGGCCGCAACTCGTACAAGCGCTCAGCCAAACTATCCCAATTTGTAATTCACCGCGGTCTCATCTTTTCAATCTGCCAAACCGTCTTCTCAATAGCTAGTTCCTTTGAGCCCAATGCCCTCTACCGGGACTGGTTGCTTGTCGGTTATAGCACCATTTACACCATGATGCCCGTCTTCTCCCTCGTCCTCGACACGGATGTAGACGAGAGTGTAGCGAACCTGTACCCAGAACTCTATGCCGAGCTCAAAACAGGGAAATCCCTCTCCTACAAATCCTTCTTCATCTGGGTAGCCGTTTCAATCTACCAAGGGTCTATCATCCAAGGTCTTTCCCAGATTCTAGTAGGCGTCGGTATTGCACATCCCGCTACCGAACCCCAAGACCCTGTATTCTTAAAGATGGTGGCCGTAAGCTTTTCAGTGCTGGTCCTGAACGAGCTGGTCATGGTGGCTATGGAGGTTACGACATGGCATTGGCTTATGATTCTTGTCATTTGCGCGACGAGCATCATCTACAGTGGCAGTGTGCCGTTCCTGGGTGATTACTTTGATCTGGAGTATATGACAAAGGTGGCGTTTTGGTGGAAGTTTGCGGGCATTGCGGCTGTTAGTTTGCTTCCGCCGTATGCGGTTAAGTTGCTTAGGAGGACGATTCGGCCGCCGAGTTATCGCAAGGTGCAGAGTGTGTAGCTTAGAGACGGGAGGGTAGGGAGGGGATGTGTACACTTTTTCATGTTTGTTGTTGTTATTTAGCGGTTTCGTTTTTTTAATAAGATTATAATGAAAGATGAATAAGTCTCTCTCTTTGGTATGTTGTGTAGCGACACCATATACGCAAACACTATACAATCGTGCACGTCTAACAACCGTCTTATCCTTTTTTTTAATCACATGTGGGAAATGAGATATAAAAGGCAATTTGACGGGCAAAGAGGTGGGGGATTACGTACATCATTTCCCAATTGAATCCAAGCAAATGACAATATTACATTAAAAAAAGTCTTCTTGATAGCAAACAAACAATCTTGTATACAATATGTCAAGCAATTCTAGTTAAAGCAGTTTCTTCAGCGCTTTTTGTGCGTCAGTTAGTACACCGTCGTCCCTTACATATGTCAGAACATAGACGTCTTTTTGGCCGGTAATCGTGGGCCGTTGTGGACTTTGTAATAAACTTTGCAGGTTAAATGGCTCTTTATGGGTATCAGAGATGCACGTAATGTCGTTGCCTTGTCCTTTGGTAGAGCAGACATAGTGGCCGCTGTATATCGGGTCAGAGTGAGAAATAACGCTGTGGATCTTGTATCGAAGGGGAAGGGTGGGGACCTCCTGGTATTGGGTGAGATCAAGAACCTCATGAATGGGCATTGAATGTGGGATCTTAATGCCTTGGTACTCCAATCCTTCATCACCCATGACCATTCTCCCACCAAAAAGGTTAATCCTGATTTTTAGGTATTGAGGCCCGGCGACGATTTCTCTACGGGTCCAGTGTGATTGCTCGTGTATTCTACATGTGTCGCAGTGCATGTCTATTGTATCGTAAAAGTAGGTCCGTATCGCAGCGTCGAATGTGGCACTCGGATGAATCGCCATTTCAGCGTTTGACTCTTCTATTACTACCCTTGTCGCAGGACACATTTGGCATTGGGCGTACTGTACTGTGTCGAGGTGAAATAGCGATCGTATCTGATTCGACCATCCCTTCGCACTATGTAATGTTAGACCCATTTCAACACGAGATACCTAGACAGTATGTGCACTTACAGGCTCGCATTACGCATATACTCGACAACTTTGATGTACATAGTATCTGCGTCATCTTGCTCTATATACTCTCCGCGAACTCGGGTTGTAATCCTAGATTTGATAGCTATATGGCCTATACGGGTAACATCTGGCCCTGGATTTCGAATTGGCCTGGTGATGGGTGTGTTCCCCCAGTAATCATTAATAAGGTCGCGCATGATGCACGCTCCGCATGCTGGAGTTATGTCATCTGCTTCATTGACCGAGAGAGTGGTGTGTCTATGGATTTGAAGCAAACTGAGTAGCTTTGGTAGATGGAGAAGAGCCTGTAATACCGAGTTGATGAAGCACCAATTGTTGGGATTCTGTATACCTCTACTACCCTGGTATCTGCGCGTGGGCCAAGTCTTCTTAATGCGTCCGGCCTGTAGTTATGTTAGCTGTGTCGTCTAGGGGACAATGGACATCTGAGCATACAATGCGATCACGATCTTGCTGTAACTGTGTTCGAACAAGTCGTGTAGACGGGTGAACCGCTCCTGCTCTCGTGCGAGCTGTCGTGCGAGCTGGCGCGCTCATTTTCTAATTTGGAATATACAGCTGCCTTGTGTTTGTTTTGTCGTGGGATGTGCAGGTGTCGTGTTTATAGCTTGCTGAATTTTGAACATAATCTGCGACATCAAGCACTTGATGAGGTGTCGAAACAAACAAAGGAAAAAACTTTCATCAATAGGCATTGTTCTGTTGTTCGTCAGGGAGGTGGAACGGTGGTGAAGGTGAGGACAATGGGTAGGTAACATACAACGAGAGCGTACAGAGACTAATACAGCCACCTTCACTCATACTACCATGAGTAGAAACAATAGGCATTATATGCACAAAGGACATTCAGGTAGTTCGATAGGGTCAAAGGGAAATTTGGTGAGATCCGTGTTGTTGGATGACAGAACAAAGGCGCGATATTAGATCGGCGTGATGTGAACACCATAGAGGTAGAGGCTATGGAAACAAAGACGGAAGCGGCTGTCTGGCAGCTTCACGTGAACACATGATAGGTGATGCCTGTATGTCGATTCTGAGTTGCAGACTACCGGTTCAATTAGCTAGAGCTACATAGATATTATGGAGTATCCAGGACCCTACATCTGAGTGAAGGAGGACAGGAAGGGTCACCTAGACACCCTGATCTTTGGCATGTTTTGCCGCATGCATCCGCCTCTTAAGCTCCCTATTCGAAACAGTCTTTGGTTGATCCGGAACTGGCACGCTAGCAGCACTACTCGGAAGATCAGAGCGTATCGAGCTCATGCTGTACGCACTGCCCCCCTGCTTGCGCTTTGTAGGCTTCTTTAGGTCGGCGCGATACTTCTCTGCGTTAATGTTCGGACGCACGTTCGTATAGAAATGGCTCGCCTTCAGTGTCACAGGGGTCTGTGCAAGCAAAGTCGCATCGACGTCTTGCCAGGCTACCATATCTCCCTTATGGTAAATATCCTTGGTCAAGCTAACGAAAGGCTTGTGATGGTCGGATGCGATCCGACCACCCGTGGATTCCATGGCTGCTTCGAGCCAGCCATTCCAGTTTCCGCAAGTTACCTGGAATTGGCGTGCCCTCGTATTCTGTACACACAAAGCGTTTCCCAACGCAATGAACTTTTTGTTAGCCATTGCTTTCTTAGGATTGCGCACGCATAGCGAGATGAAGACGATGTCGACATCACTGCCCGGAGTACCCCATGTTGTATTGACGGCCCCATCGGTAACCATTTTTACGAGCACTTCGCTTTCTGATGACTCTTGAACTTTCTCCATGAGCATGTTGCGGATATGCTGTTGTCCCTTGTAGGGCGTGATGATGTTGATGTGCGCGGGTTGGATGCGAGCGAACTTGTGTTCATCCCCGGCCGTGTGATTTGGCTTGAACGCCAGCAACCCGCGTACGAGCCCCACAATGATGCGGGCTTCTTCTGAGTTACAATAGGATGTGGTGTCTTTGAAATGTTTCGACACAGCATCATCACCGGAGACATCGATTGCCATCCGGCATCTCTTATTCTTCCTGCCGGTGCCCATTTGTTGAAAAACTTGTCGTACCGTCCTTCCAACAGGTGTAACCTGAGATGCAGATGGCGCATCTTTGACCCTCCCCTGGTAGAGCGTTTGAATTGCCCATGCGCTGAGATCCGGGTGCTGTCGATATTGCTCCCTGAGTGTGACATATCTCATATCCCTATCTGGGTCGTTGATCAGTTGTCGGAAGAGAGAATCTGTCAACATGAAGCGTGCTTCATTCGAATTCCACGTGGTGATAATTGGCTTGAGCAGGTTGTAGTCACTAGACAGAGTGAGCGACTTGACATGCTCTTTAAACGGGTCGACGGCCATGCAGACATCCGGAATGGTGGCGTGGCCAGCCTCGTCGATGAAAGCAGAGGAAGGCTTGAAGTGCTGAATTGAAGAATGGCTGGCGCTCGAGCAGGTTGTGAAGATGATATCGATGTTGTGCTCGACGAACCACTGCGTGAGCATCTCCTGAAGACCCTTCGAAGCCTTGGTATTGTCGGATGCCTTTGTGTTCTTATCGGCAGCAAGCTTCTCAACATAATCTTTGGCCTCGCGATGCATCTTGTGTTCCGGAGCGGCGGCCCAGAGATCAATCTGTTTACGCAGCTGGACGTGGAAGAGTGTATCAGGGTTCGCCTTCATGGCCGCAGTCATTGTAGGATTGATAGCACTGACTAGCTCTTCCAAGTTTGCCCCAGGCACCACCGCCTGTGTGTACTTCTCGTAGGTCTGGTAGCCACCGACAAATCGGATGGCAGAGATTTTGGGGTTCTGTTTCTTGCGGAATGAGTCCAGCGCGGCGTCGACCGCCTTATTTGAGTTGCAAACGTAAATGACCTTCCGGCCCATTTCGCAATGCTCGTGTGCCGCCGCAGCCGTCGTCGTAGTCTTTCCCGTGCCCGGAGATCCATAGATTAGAGCAAGCCCATTGTCCGAGACAAGTGTCTCTTTGACTGCGTCAATTTGAGTCTTTTTGAGACGCCACTTGGTCTTAACATCCTCGAGAACCTTACAGAGAGTTTCCGGGTGCATGTCTCTGCCAGCGTTTAAGTTCTCGGGAGCGATCGTGGGTTGTGTCCGGAAGATGACACCCTGCATGTCAACACCCTCTGTTCGCTTGAGGCTCATAGAAGCCATGTTCTCTGTGGCGATTCGAGCGCGATCAGCCGTCGTCTTGTCATCAATGTACTCAATGTTGACAACGTGTGTAGTGGTACCGAATTCGTACGGACGACCGATTACATGTACTACGAAGTCGAAGTCTTTGGATTCGTCAACATCAATGTCTTCAGATCCAGGAGCTTCCACCACTTGTCCCTCGTAGCTGATCTTCTCACCGCACATGATAGATACGTGAATCATGACACGCGTACCTAATATGGGCTTCACAAGCTCAAAGTCGTCGTCCTCATTATTTTGAGTCCCGGGAAGGCGGATCTTGACGTAGTATCCACCTTTCAACCCATCAATGGATTCGAGTAGTGCCTTGCAGTCCCCCTTGGTAGAGGCTGACATCTTCTCAATCAACATCTTCTGGCTGTTGCGCTCTCGCGCGAGAGCAAGGCGAACGAGGAAGGCGCAATCTTGCACGGATGGGAACCTGTAGGACTTGGCAAACGTGCTTCAGTTGAACGGTTCGACGGAAGTGATAGGCGCACCTTGTACAGCTGAGTGAGCCAGGTATCTGCTCACCATCCACCTTGGCGGTTGCAACTTCTCCAGGTTGCATTTACTGTTGAAGATATCGGCGCTTTCGCTGAGCTCGCCCGTCTTTTCGTGAGGCTTCTCCAACTGCAACTGGTAGTACCAGAAGTTGCGATACTTTGAGCAGAGATGCATGCTTCCAAAAAAGAAGTTTTCGAATTTCTTCATCGTAGGCATGTCCGCAAATTCGATGCGGCGGAAGACAGCAAGTTGGACCGCGCGATCTAGGAAGAGGATTGTGCGCTCGAAGTCATCCATGTCCGGGACGAGAGTTGCGTCGGTTCCCTTGGCCCGAATGTTCTCCAATTCCCCAGTTGTCAAACCTGACCAGATTGGACGACGCCTATAGTCGCCAGCATTGACTTCCTTGGGCTTGATGAGATTGATGTTTGTCATCATCAAGTTCCTTGCCACCGCGAACTCTATGAAGTTGTTGTGCCCGCGTGCGATGTGCTCCCCGAAGTCTTTGACGTCGGCCGCCGAATCCATTGGTTCGTGGAACATATTCATGGAAATGCCAGCGTCCTGTTGCCCGTCGGCAGGGCGAATGCAGTTGGCGAAGATGACGTAGTTGACCGTCTGGACATCCGTCTGGACGTCCTCAGTCACCACCAGCACCAGCAGCATCTGGTGTTGGGCGCCTTATGTGTATTGTGAGGGAAGGCATCTGGCTGTCGAGATTAAACGAAACTTGGACAAATTTATATTTGTTCTGCTCCGTCGTCGTGAGAGGGCCCTGGCAAATTCGTTCTTTCGGCTCGTCGGGTACCATCTCGTTCATGAACATGACCAGGCATACCTGGCGCCTGTATCGAAATTTGCCGATATCTGGCTTGTCGCTGCCACGGTACTCCTTGTGGATGGCGTTGAGGTCGTAGCCAGCCAGCTTCTCCAGAAACGGAGATACATCGCCATCACCGGTCAACTCCATGAACTGTTAGTTGGTGGTAACATAATTCACGGCAGCGACATGTTCGCGCATTGTAGTTGCGGGAGCAATCTCGCCAGTATCTTGTATTTCCTCGTCTTCTTGGTAGAGCATGTGAGCATACTTGCTCTTCTTCCTCGGTGCAGAAGGCGGCAAAGCGTCACGTGGAGCTGGAGAAGCATCACCTGCAGTGACATCGTCCACTGCGGAGAACATGTTGCCGGTGACCTTGAAGGGCAGAGAACGAGCCATTTGCGTAGGTGACTGCGAAGACGGAGAGAGCCAAAGGATGTGAGGTGATGAGGGTAGAAGCTGCGAGCTCTCGAAAGTTCCTGTATATTTGGATAGTCTGTGCGCTAGCTTTGGCTAATCAGCGTTGAGGTACATCAAAGCAAACGCAGCACCTGGCAGTGCGGACCTGCCCGGGTAAACGAGGATAGAACGCGAATCCGAGGGCCACGACCCACTCCTGGGTTCTACACAGAGGCAACACTCAGGTATCTCACCGACTGATTGGAGCATACCGACACCCCAATGTCTGCCAACACGGACTGGTTGGAGCATACAGGACCGCCCATGGTCCCGAGGTCTACAGGTATGGACCTGTTGGAGCATACAAACCGTCCCAAGGTCAGCAAGGACAGACTGATTGTAGCATACAGACCCTCCCAAGGTCAGCAAGGATGAAGTGGTTGGAGCACGCCGACCCTTCCAAGGTCTGCAAGTACGGGGAACGTCTGTCCCTAGACTTAGGAAGCTACCTAGGTATGAGTCATAGGGCTACGGCATCCTGGGGCTGCAAGTGCGCGCCGTGGATCGATGACAAAAAGTCCTCGATCGATAACAGTACGTCTGGCTAGAAGAGAGTGTGATCCACCTAACAGCTACGGCCTTGGAATGCATACATTCACAGCCCAATGCATCACAACGAGACAAGACGACAACGAGGCAAGAGACAAGACATAAGAAGACAATAGCACAGGAGATAATAAACAGGGAGATTATGATGCAAGGAAACAGCGAGGCGACCTTACGACGACGTGTAAAGAGATAACGAGGCAAGGACTACGAGACGACGGACTATGAGACGAGCAGACCACAAGACAAGGGCATTACAAGGCGGACAAGCAAGTATGGGGAGATGACGAGGCAAAAAGACTATAAGACGAGGCTGCAACACGCGACTACGACACATAAGGACATGATAAGGAGCTACAAGATAGGATTACAATGCGGGAGATGTTTGGAAAGAGAAGAAGTTTGACGTTCCCAGGAAGGTTGCCGACCCCCCAACAGCGGCACAGCTCGGTCTGAGCTGATCCTAGTTAAGTAAGGAAGAACAAGCGATAGTAAATTACCTTATACAGCTCTATTAATAGAATACATAGTAGAAAAACGAAAAACCAACAACTCCTACTTAGGTATTCAACCTCTTCAACTCCTTTTGCCGGTTGGTCAGCGCCTCGTCCTCCCTTCTATAGGTAAGAATATAGTGGTCTTTGGGGTTGCCAACTTCCAGTTGGTGCGGGTTCTCGAGCATTTACGCTAGGGTAAAGGGCTGCTTGGTCTCATCAGAGACATAAGTGATACTCCCCCCCCCCTGTCCTTTGACAACGGTCAGATAATGGCCTACGTTGAGCTCACCGGACTGCGAAATGATGCTCGTGAGGCGATAGCGGAGGGGGAGATCTCCATGGAGCTGATATGTACTTAGGTCTAGTACATCAGGTGGAATCATGTTGTGCGAGTGCTTCACAAAACGGAAATCTACTATTCTTCCTCCATCCATGATATTCTCCTGTGCGAAAAGTTTGGGCCTCACTCTAAGTAGTTGTGGTGCTGCTATGATAAGGGCGTCTCCTGTGTGGTTTTGTAACCCGCATGTTGGGCAGTTAACATGCCTTGTGTCGTGGAAATAGGTTCTGAGCGCAGTGTTGAAATCTGGCCTGAGATAGAGCAGCATTTCAGTCTCTGAAGATTTTTGAGACGGGCGTCTCTGGAGACAGACTAAACACCGAACGTATCCCTGCACTTGTAACCTGAAAAGGGACGCAAACTCCTTCCTCCACCGTTGATTCCTGGTAAAATGGTCAGAGGTCGCTTTCATCGCTAAGGAATTAAATAAACTTACCTTTTAGATTGATCTATACCTCTGAATTCCTCTATGTCAGCAAGAAGGCTTTCTAACAATTGGCCGCAGTCATCTTGGGTTATTTCGGTTCCGCTTCGTGAAGTACAATTATTAAAAACTGCAATGTGCGCAATTCTTTCCATTTCCAAGCTTCCAGGATTGCGAATTGGTCTGGAGATAGGCCTATTCGCCCAGTATGTGTTAATGAGTCTTTGAAGAACACAAGCACCACAGGCAGGCCGTTGGTCACTGGACTCATAGGATTTATCATGTCTGTGAGTCTGGAGCCAGTTCAAGAATATAGGTTGATGCATGAGATCTTGGATTACTGCATTGACGAAGCACCAGGCGCCAGGGTTCTCCATCCCTCTACAGCCTTGGTCACGAGTATTGCTGCGATTAAGCCAACGTTTGCTGATGCGCGAAGCCTAACATCACAAGTCTGTCAGCTGGAGTCATCTAAGAAGTAGAATGAAGATACGTCACGGTCATAACGCTTCTGTAGCTCTGATCGTATTATAGGAGGCCAAATCACAGCGCCTTGGGCAATCCTAGCTGCGCGTGTCTGAACCATACCGAATGAGGCGGGTTGTTTTTTGGTAATAAGATGCAGTGTGCAGTCTGCGGATGGAAGGAGAGCAGGAAATGTTGGGCATGAGTTTGCGCTCTCAAGGACTTATACGCATTCAAACAAATAACCAAATCTTTCTTGGTGAACAGTTATTCCTTTATTGTCGATAGTGGCGTAGTATTACATACAAAGGACACTCCAAATTACCGTACCAGTACAACGGAGCCGAGCCGAGCCGATCTAACTACCTAAGTAAATTATTTCTAGTTTCGCGCGGCATTCCACCCCACACACCAACACCATGACTGCCCTAACACAAGGCGGCGCTACCTACGAGGCAGAACACGTGCACTCTGTATACGAAGAAATCGCGTCACATTTTTCGTCGACTCGCTACAAGCCATGGCCGATTGTCGAACGCTTTCTCAAAGAGCAGAAGGATGGTGCGATTGGCGCAGATGTAGGATGTGGCAATGGGAAATATTTAGCCGTGAATGATAAAGTCTGGATTGTGGGGAGTGATCGGTGAGTAGACGAAAACTCCATGTCGTGAATATTATTCAAGTATTTCTACACGAACACATACTAATCCACTCAGGTCAACAAATCTCGTCAAAATCGCAAAGCAGCACGAGCCACATGACGTAGTGGTGGCAGATAATCTTTCGCTGCCGCATCCAAACGGTGTGTTTGACTTTGCGATTTCGATCGCAGTGGTACATCATCTGTCTACGCCAGCACGAAGAGTGGAAGCGGTAAGATGCATCCTCGATCTGCTGCGACGGCCGTCATCGTCACCACGCACTGGCGCTCAACAGGAGCACAAGAACGAAGAGGTTGGAGGGCGAGCATTAATCTATGTCTGGGCCTTGGAGCAAAAAGATAGTAGACGGGGCTGGGACGAGGGGCACGAGCAGGATGTCATGGTGCCGTGGGTGTTGAAGCACAAGAAGGAAAAAGAGGCAAAGCGCAAAAAGAAAAAGAGCGACGTCGGCGGTGAGGAAAGTGTAAGAGAGGAGGAAAAGCCAGAGGGCGATAGGACCTTCCTAAGGTACTACCACTTGTATCGCAAGGGAGAGTTGGAGAATGACATTGAGGAGGCTGGTGGAGTTGTGCTAGAGTATGGGTATGAAAAAGATAATTGGTGGGCTATTGCGACGTTGAGTTGATCTACATCAGAGTAGTTATCGATTATCTTAGTGCATGCCATAATATGGCGTCACTCCCGTTCTACCCGCCCCGGACTGTAAGCGAACGAAGGTTATACTAACTCAACAGGAAGAGCGTGACTGCTCTCGGTCAATGGGAACAGTTGGTAGTAGAAGCCCACTGCTCCCGCTACTAGAACGATGTAGTAAGCCGCGGTCCACCCAATGCCCTTGCCTTGATATGCCGGAGCGATCTTTTGCTCGTCGTCCTTTTTGTCAACGTCTGGCGGGCCGATGGGGATACCGGCTTCAACGCCAACACGGCCGTAGAAGCGCGGAAGTCCCATCCAGTTGCAGAAAGCGTGCGCTAGGATGCAGGTGTAGACATTTCCCGTCCTGATAAAGACAAAGGCGGCAAAGAAGCCAAATAGTGACGTGTAGGTGAATTGGAAGAGTGAGCGGAGCACGGCTACGAACAAGGGAACTTCAGAGTGGGTAATGCGGAACTCGTAGAGGTGGTGGACATGCGCAATGCCAAAGTAAAGTGGAGTCAGGAAGACGATCTGTTTGCCGGAGAAGCGAGCAAGCACGTGGAGTGGGATGATGAAGGAGCGCCAGACGAACTCTTCACTCACGGGTCCCTGGCATTATCAGTAGGCGCAAGTTGGATAGGACATGACTGACGCACGACTACAAAGTTCCTGTACCCAATCCAACTACTCAGAATTTCGTGGAGACCAGCTAGTCGTACCCAGTCCCTCCAGGCGCCGTCTACTACACCGTGCTCAAAAATAGGGCCGGCAAAGAGTATAGTGACCAGGAGCATGGTACGAATCATGTCCAATGGCGAAACAGGCCACAGACCAAGTAAATGGGCCATGTCCGAAGCTGATGTCTCATGCTGGTAGAGTACAAGTACGGTGAGGATAGAGCACAGGATGGTAGACAAGGTCACGGCCCGTACTCTGGCGCGTATCGACGACGGCGCGTCGCGCGTCAGAGTGGGAGACGGACGCGTGGCGGGCGAGAGGTAGAATGGTATTACGTAGATGAAGACATATGCGGCCTAGGGAGGTCGGCGTTAGTTGGCCATGTGTTCAGCAAGTATCGGTATTGGCTGCACTATAGGCTGAGAGGAGTAGTAGACATGGCGGGGGTGGAAGCGTGAAACAACATACCGAGAGGAGTGCCGCCGCACTGGACGACAGGGCCGGCGGTTCGGGAACTGACGCGACGTTAATCATGGAAATGTTTCGACAAGCACTGGAGACTTTGGCGGGAAGCAGAGGCAGTCGGGGTGGGTCGCGCAAGGCGTTAAAGACGGCCCATAGCTCAAAGGAAGCCGCCGAAGCCAATGAATCGTTACTTACCGCCTTTGTACATGTCTCTGAGTATGCTGAAACTCTGCCGCCAGCCTTTGTGCGGTGGAGGCATCTTGAAGCTGTTACGGAAAAAGCAGCAGTTCCCGCCAAAAGTACTATACTTGTAGTCGTGGCGGCAGACTACGTGTTGTCTTATACCCTGCCCTCGCGAACCCCATCGTTTCGGGCTTCGATGCGTATCGATAACACAATTATTCTCATCACGTGTTCCCATCACGTGTCGCCATTCTAAGGTCACGTGCCGATCTCCAGTTCACCCCAGCGCTGGCACGTGCACGAGCTCCCGTGCATTACCCCTGCAGGACGTTGCGCACCCACTCACGGTCGTGGTCCGTCGTCACTGGCCAGTATACCTAGGCGACCAGGGCGCATAGGTATCGTCTTGCTGCGAATTGGGCCCATCCTGCAGCCGCAGAGAGGCTGCTTAGCCCAGCCACGCAAATCGCCCGTCTTCCTCGATTCACCACCACTCCTCATCCTCTCCCTCTCAAAACCTCTGACTAATGCCTCCGGGCTCTCTCATTCTTTTCTGCTTGTTTTAGCGTTCCAGTCACTCTTTGAACATCTTCAAACACGGTCTTTACAACCTCTTGTTTCTTCTTTCCCATCTCCATCAATTAATCCCGGGTTTCGCACTTTTCCGCACACGTCAAAAGTCCACAATTCCGCTTGATTCCGCCCATCGCTTCACAACAGCATGTCCTCGGCACATGGCCACGCCGACTCGCAATCACCACAGCACGCCACATTCGCACAAGGCCCCAGGTTTTCGCCGCCGAAATCGCCTTCAAAAAGCACTTCTCCTGTACGCAAGCCGCTTCACGAGCGATCGAATTCGCAGACAAATCAGTACTCGGGTCCAACCATCCGCATAGTCGAAGATCCCGGCCATGACATCTATCAGAAATATCCCGTACCCAGCGAACCCTCGCAGATTCTCCCCCCACCCCGTCATGCGCCAGGTTATGGGTTTGAAAGACCGGAGAGGCTAGGACCCCGTGTTTCAGTTGGGAGCCAGGTCGCCAATACAATTGCCAAGTTCGAGGCCACCCGAGCACTAGCACCACAGCCTATCCTGTCGCGAAAGAAGGGTTTCAGGCATTCGGCCTCGACTAGCATCTCGGAAGAGGATACCTTCATCTCGTCGTCGTTCTCTCCTTCGTCCACGAGATTTTCACAGGGGAGCACCGCCCCGTCGTCGCCGCCACCAGAGTTTGACGACTTTGAATCCAGCCTGGGAGTACTTGAAGAGGAACCCTCCTTTGAAAGGTCGAGGTCGACCATCCGGGCTGTCCCTCCCTCTTCTTCTGGTGGAGATTCGTCAGAGAGTCGCACCAGCGCATTGACACTCAAGGCCTCTGCTGCACCTTTTGCCTCAACAGCCCTTCCTGCATCGACACCTTCAATAAGTAATGCCGGAAACTTACCAAGTGTCACTGTCGGCCGACCCTTACCCGAACCGCCAACCCGATCAACCGACTTGGAGACAGGGGGGTCAATTGCGTTCACTAGTGACACTAACCATCGCCAAACTGTACTGAAGTCCCAGCAAAGCACAGAATCAATCACCTTCTCTGATATTTCCTCCACTAGCATCGAACCAATCCAACCCGTATCATCACAGCCATCGCCCACTCTTCATGAAGCAAGCACATCGACTTTCGCGAGCGGCATTCGAGTCAATTATCCTATTGTACGCGCGCCGTCGTCCAATAGTTTGCGGGCCGAGTCCCAAAGACAACACCGCATCGCGTCCCGGATGCAGGACCGCTCATTGGTGCACAACTGGAGCTCCCAGCTATCGACCATTGCCTCGGTATCCGAACGCGACTCGCGATCATTTGTACGAAGCCCACGGACATCCGGCGCGAGATCACACTCACAAGAGAGCTATGCGCAGAGGCGGACGTCGAACACGCGCCGGAGAGGACACACGGTGGGAAGCGGGACGTCATGGTCACCGGCGGAAAGTGTTGTATCATCGGAAGCCAACACCGACCCTTCGGCAATTCCCCGACCGCTGTTCTCCCCAGTCGGGAGACGCTCTTCGGAAGAAAGAGATTACTACAACGAGCATCTGGACACGATTTCGCCATTACCATCATCGGTGCCATTGCGCAAGAAAACCTCGGGCTATCTGCAGAGATCAAGCAGCGATGCTACAGATTCGCGGCCGGGATCCTCGCAGTCCAATGTGTCCAGCTTCTTTAGCAGCAACATCCCCATGTGGGCAAAGGTGTACTACCAGAGAGGTGAACGTATCTCAGTCGTGGCTGCTCCAGAGTCAGACTCTTCTGGAAGTATCCGACTAGGAACTGCCCACAGCGGACGATCACGTACCCCTTCAGAGAGCCACTTTCCGCTCAGCATCTACCGCCCGCGCAATCGTCCCCGCACCCGATTGTCACACACAGACACCATTTCATTAGCCGACGACGCGCAATCCATCGATGGGGGAGTTTACGAAGGAGGGGTGTACATGGTTGAAGACCGAGGCCAAATGTACGCGCTGAGTGCCTGGTCAACACCGCATCTTCGAACCGACCAAAGAGGGCAATTACGTTACAGCGCGTGGAATGCGCCTTCATTAGACGCGGATGTTCATCAAACCCTCTTTGGGCGTCAAAATAGACAAGTCCTACTCTTCTGTATAGGATTTCTATTCCCTCCTGGTAAGTGCACCCCGGCCCTCATCATGCGCATGAATATATGAACTAATTTTGATTCTAGCATGGATAATTGCAGCTTTCCTCCCGTTGCCTCTCGATCCCAACCATGTCATTACCCCTACACCCAGCCAGGCCGACATAGAGCAGCAGTTCACGCAGACCGTAGCGCAAGCCGATGACAAAGCCTTCCAAAAAGCGACTTGGTGGCGCAATCTCAACCGCGTTATGGCTGGAGTTGGGACACTGTTGGTTGGTGTCATCATCGCATTAGCCATTCTCGCAGCGAAGCTATCTAACAAATGAGTGACACCCACTCTTGCTCTCGGACGAAGAATTCAACCACCATTTTACCAGCACCATATCTACCCGTATATCCGCTCTCACGGCCTACTCAGGCCATTTCAATCCGTCATTTGGACGCGATTTTGCATAACGAACCATTTCACGAACATAATGATGCCATAACGCACGTTAATGTTTACTAGCTATATACACGACATGAACGCTCTCTTCGACATCTCTTTCGATCTCGTACCGAGCCTCTGTCTTGTCTACACACACGGCCTATACTGTACTCTATTTTCCTTTTTTCTCATCCCCGGAAGCGTATCCTGTTCAGCATTTTGCAGTTTAGCGGGCGTTCTCCTTTGAACTTCTTTTCGATACCTTCCTTTCAGCGTATTACCCATTTGCTTTAACAGTATCGCGCAATACTACCATTGGCGACATCGAGACATTCTTCAAATATTACTACATACCACTTGTTCCATATCTGTCACTTGTCATATTGTCAGTTCGTCTCGGATATTCGATGCGGGACAGGGATGCGAATCGAGATTGTTGGGGTCCTGAAGGCGTAACGCCAACCGTGCGCTGCTCCCTGTCCGAGATTACGGTACCATGAGCTTGAAGAACTATATGACCATTGTAATTATAGTCATGCGCTCTACGTCACTTGGACGATGAGACGGAATACACTAATTGCCTTCCTCACCCGCAAGGCTGAGGGTGTAATCTGTTTGCACGAAACTCGTGCAGAGAAGCACGGATATGGGGTTTGCCGTTGTTGAGTATATTCACTGGTCCGTGTCACGGTCTCGCACCCGTTTAGGTCATGATCCGATGCTCTTGACTCTTTCGATGAATTGTCCGAAAGTTTAACTCGCACTGCGGACGCTTCCATGTTGGTGAGGTGATGCCTTGATTCCTTGAAGCTGCAACGCCAACACGCGCACAGCCATAAATATTGAGGGCCATGGCGTGCTTCACCATAGAGGACGTGCGTACCAAGGACACGTCACGGACGCGGTGACTTGCATGAGTCGCTACAGGCCATCTGAAACTCACCTTCATAACCTAACGTTTGCCAAGCTACTCTTTCACAGTCATAGTTGTGCTGTGGCGCAGTCTGAGTAGTGCATCAGTCGAGATGAGTCGAAATAGTGACGTTCGCAACTAGACCTGATCGGGTAGTGGGGCGTCTCTCTTTACAAAGTCCCGCCGACTTTTTGCAGAACAGCACAAGTTACAGCGAACCTCAACCGCACTCTACATTCCCCTCCAAACCTCCAGACACTTTACAGGCAAACTCACTGAGAAACTACCAATTATGGCTGTCCGCGCACAATTCGAAAACTCCAACGAAGTTGGTGTCTTCTCTACACTTACAAACGCATATGCGATTGTCGCAGTCGGCGCGAGTGAGAACTTCTACAGGTGCGCAATATTGATACAGTGCTCGCATTCTCTAGCAATATGCTATGGGGGTCGCAGTGGAAGATATTTGCAAAGATGGGTACTGATAGCGGCGCGACAGTGTCTTCGAAGCTGAACTACAAGACGTCATTCCCATTTGCCATGCCACTATTGCAGGAACTAGAATAGTTGGCAGACTGACAGCTGGGTATGTTTACTTTGAATATCTTGGCTAAGCATCCAAAACAAGAGACTGACATGAAGAAGAAACAAGAAAGGCCTCCTCGTCCCCACCACAACTACCGACCAAGAACTCCAGCACCTTCGAAATTCCATACCCGACGAAGTTAAAATCCAGAGAATAGAAGAGCGTCTATCAGCCCTCGGCAACGTAATATGTTGCAACGACCATGTCGCACTTGTACACCCGGATATTGAGCGAGAGACGGAGGAGATAATAGCAGATGTATTGGGTGTTGAGGTTTTCAGGCAAACAATCGCAGACAACGTCCTGACCGGTAGCTACATGGCATTAAGCAACCAGGGCGGTATCGTGCACCCCAAGACGAGCATTCAGGACCAAGACGAGCTGTCGAGTTTGCTACAGGTGCCTCTGGTGGCTGGTAGTGTGAACCGTGGTAGCGCTGTTGTCGGCGCGGGCATGGTCGTCAACGACTGGATGGCCGTGACTGGTATGTGAAGATGAAATGGTAGCGAAGAGCATGACACTAATCAAAAATCCAGGTCTTGATACTACCGCGACCGAACTCTCAGTCGTCGAATCTGTCTTCAGGTTGGGCGAGGGCAACGGTCCCGCCAACATCAACACCACAAACAAGGACACCATGGTGGAGTCTTTCTACTGAACGTGCTTTTACACGACTGTACGAATTTTCTCATTCTTTGCTGTCCAGGAGTATGGCGCATAGCGGCCTCTCGCACTCCGAGGCATTCAAAATGAAGCCCTAGGGGCACAGAAAATGCGAGGATATAGGACGTCAATCTTCTAGCCGCACTGGAAAGTAACCGTGTTTTGCTCAGTATCTTTTGTGTGAGCAGCTGTCTGCTGTGCGTAGACAGCGCATGCGCGTTTGCATGGGCACTTTAGGATGGATACTGGAAGATTGAATCAAATCATAGTTGATGCTGTAAATTGGCCTTTGAATGATGCTTGTCTTCGTGTGACCGGTGCGAAACTTATGCAGGTACCTTCACCCACATTTTGCATGGTTGATAAGGCTGAAGGCGGTGAGGGCGATCTGCCGGTAACTAATACATCATCGTCCAGTTTGCGCCGATGCTATTATACAATCAACCACGCATACGAAATTCATACCGATGCTTCCAACCTACCCGTCCTTGGTCCCTTGATCCATATTTGTTTGAATCCCGGGATTTCTGTTGCCACAAACCTCGACTCGCCTTCATAAGCGACCCCACCACATCTCAGCATGTCCGCCTCAAACTCAACGGCGCTCACGAAGCGCAGCGCATCGAATGCGCTTATGGCACCACCTCCTGCCCCGAAACGTATCAAGCGCCCTTCTGTAGTTCTGGATGAAGATACCTACGTCTCTGCCGTATCGCACATTATCCGCCGGGACTTCTTCCCAGGTCTTGCAGAAGCGGATGCGCAGCGGGAATACCTGAACGCGGTGGAAAGCAAAGACAAATCATGGATACGAGAGGCAGGAAAGAAGCTGACGCAAGTCATGACGCCTGTACCAAATGGGCACAGAAAAGCGGCAGCAAGAACGCGGTTCAACAAGGGAAGCGGAGCTGGGGACAAGACACCTAGTGTATGGGGCGCAGATACACCCGTCACAGTCGCAGGCACAGAAGTAGAAGACGACGACGAAGGACTAGGCAAATTGGACAACGTCGACCTAAACATGAGTCTCGGCGCCTTCCAAGCAAAATACACCAGCGAAGACCAAGAAAGTTTCAGCCAAATCATCGACAAGCAGAACAAGGACAAGTTCGAAAAGAACGTCTGGCTCCGACAAGGCAACATGTACGCCAGCAAACAGCGTCTCGCGCAGCAAAAAGTCCTCGAAGCAAGAGCCGCCGCCTCAACCAGCAAAGACCTAGTCATCACCACGCGCCCCAGCCAGAACCTCGACGACCGCCCCGCCGCCCCAACAGGCCACAGACACACCCCAATAAACAGTCTCATGTTCGGCCCCGAAAGCGTAGAACCATGGGCTCCCACACGTGCCTTAGAAGCCGAAAAGGCATCCCTCGCTCCCCCGAAAAAAGTCCTCTACAACAACACCCGCCTCCCCACCACCGCCCCCGATACCGACGCCGCAAGACCGCCTAGCCCCACTCTCTCCGCCATCCGCGACGCCGTCGCAGGTCGTCCGCGCCTCAACCCCAGCGAAGGCGGATACGCTGGCAGCGAGACACCGCGCGTAAACGGCTACGCCTTCGTCGACGCACATCCACCCGAGGAACCCGACGACGAGGACGCGCCAACCGATCTACTCCAACGATACGGGTTAGACACTGGGAGTGGTAGTACAGCCACACCCTTCACCATCAACGACGCCTCTTCGCGCGAGAAAATGCATCATAGAATGGTTGATAAGATTGGTGCGAGTCGCTCTTCCTCTTCTGTTGGTGCTATGAAACCCCCCGGCTCTGGTCTGGGTATCTTTACGTCTGAGACGCCGAGGTTTCTTTCTGCGCCCACCCCGACGAGGGTGCTGGGAAATCAGACACCAGGGAGGAAGAGCAAGGGGGATTTGACGCCCGCGGCGCAGAGACTGTTTGAGAGGGTTGGGGCGGGGACGCCGGCGAGGGGGGCCAAGTTGGGGAGTGAGTGGGGGAGTAGTAGTCCTAGGGTTAAGAGGAAGATTTAGGAAGAGGGGTTGGATGTGGGATTTGGAGTTTGGAGATATGATGATGATACCCAATTTTAGAATTTCTTTCATGATTGAGCGATGAGGTATTCAAGGTTGTTTCTAGTGACTGGTTGTGAGTGTGAGTGTACTTTTGGCAGTAGGGAGATCCTCAGTACGTTCTTAGAGAGAAGCAACATTGAGATAGGTTCAAGGGCTTCATCTCCCGGGCACGTATCAACACCACATCTTCACACAAGTACAAGCACAACCATAAACAACATCACGTACACACGTGCGCACTCAGCCAAAATCACAAGTATAACCAGATAAAAATAAAAACTAACAAACAAACACACCATGTGCAGCAGCAATTCCACCCAGGGTATTACTCCAACAGACAGAATAATAAAACTTGAACTAAATACTAAATCAATGGTTATGCTATACTTTCACAAAAAGAAGAACGTATTCCAAGCGAGAGAGACAGAGGCACAACAGAGACGAAGAAACGCCTTTGGGAAAATCCAAACAGATGCCTTACATACCCAAAACGCTCTCGTATATGCAAAAAAAGGATAACCCAAACCGCCTCATGTGTTTCTAATAAAACAGGCCTAGCAATAAAAAAGAAGGAGGAGAAGAATGAAACGATGTTTATGGTACAAAGAACCGCTCGTCCCGAATACACTACACCACACTACCCGCCTCTCCTCCTCTGCTCTCCGGGACCTTGGTAGCTGCGGAATTGCGTGCCGGGCGCGTGATAACTTCGATAAGGTCTTCGAGGCCGGGACTGCGGGTCTGAAGAACGGTCGCCGTTGTTTTGGGCTTGGGCATCGCGCTGGTCGTATTGCGTGTGTGGAGGAGGGTGAGGGTGTGTTGGTGAGTAGGCTGCTTGTTGTGAGCCTTGCTGTGGTTGTGGGGGTGCAGCCTGGGTAAGGTAGGGGAGAGGTGGTGGGCCACCTTGCTGCGGTGGGGGTGCCATATTAGCGGGAAGAATGGGCTGGCCGCCGTATTGATGGATTTTGAGCGGTTGGGTAGGGTGGCAGACTCGATAGCGGGGGAGGCGGTGCTTGAAAGGAGCCTGGGGGTGGGACATAGCCGCCTTGGTAGGGGGGAGCACTGCCGTATGGTTGCGGGTATTGCGGTAGTGGAGGGCCTTGTGAAGGATGCGAACTTGATGGGTAGCTTGGTGACTGCGGTGGGTACGTCTGTCTAGGTGGGACGGGGTCGTAGTGTGCAAAACGGAAATTGATAGGTGCGGATGGCAGTGGCCCAGGTGGTTTGGGCGGCAGTGGTAATGATCCAGAAGGCGGTGCATATGGGCTCTGATGTGTTGGTGGAGTCCTACCCGACTTGTGATGCTCGCCATAGTGAGGTTGAGGAGCATGACTTTGGTATGGAGACGCTGCTTGCTGTTGTGCTTGAGACACACTTCCTCGCCTGTCATGTTCCCAATGAGGTGGATGATCGTAGGACTGGCGACGAGAATATGAGTGTGAAGTGCCAGGTAAGCCATCATACAGTCCGGTGGCCGGTCGTGTTGGATCATATGCCGCGACTTCGGTTCGTTCCTGTGTGCTGGAAGGTTGGGGATTCGGTCTGCTGGTGGAAAAGACGGGTGGTGGCCAGTATTGAGGTCGTTCCGGTTGTTCTTGCCCGTTCTCGCGCGCCTTCCGATCCAGAGCTTTCCTATCGAGAAGTTCCCTGATCTTCTGCAGGGGATCCCTTCGGCGAAGTGACTCATCAGGCTCCCGTGACTGTGGTGGCACACTCGATCGGGGCGGCCAAGGTTGAGCACTCTGAGGTGGCGATGATGGCGGGTTGCTCGGTGGTGGTGGCGGCCCACTTAGTATGTCCATCAGCGCCTGATCAACGGGCGGTTCTTCTCTGTTGACCATAGCGTCCACTCGCAGAGCATCGTTACGCGAGGGTGTCTGATGATGACTAGCAGTTTCTCCCATTGACGCTGTCCTCTGTAGCTCTTGGGCTTGGGCTGGCGGTTCACGAGTTCTCGACACTGGGACTTCTTGGTCATCATTGAGGATATCCATAATCCTGTGCGTCGAGAACCTTGGTGTTGACTTTGCCGGAGCTTCTGCTTCTTTTGCTGTGGTTACACCATTGGACTCGGAACGAGGAGCCTCTTGAGTCAGGTCTACTGCTGGTTGGGCGCTCTTGATTGGGCTGCTATGAGCAGCTTGAGACGACATGCCTAGTGGTGCTAGCAGGGCGTACTCAAGCGTCTTCTCCTTTACGTGTTCTTGCTTGATGATTGGCGTAGTAGCTCGCGGTGGCGGATGTTGCTGTGATTGTTGTGGGTTTGGATAATGATATTGAGGCTTCTGCACAGTAGAACTTCGAGGCTGATGTGCCGATACGTCTGCCAACATCATGAGCAGGGCAGCATGCTCGTTCGGGATGACTTCGGGCTTCTGTGGTTGTGGTAGGGGCGAAGGCGTCCTCTCGACTTCGATGGCGGCATCAGCAAGGCTGTTGATGTTGTAACGTGCGAGAGCTTCCGTGCGGTCTGGGCCGTCAAACTTTGCAAAGCCGCCTGCAACATCTTCTATAGAGTCGTCGGCATCTTCGTCTTTCTCAACAAAAGCCACTCGTGCCATGGTAAACTTCCTTCGTACGGTTTCATCCTCGAGTTCCCTGTCGGCCTCTACATAGGCCCTGCTACGAGAGGCGAACTTGGAGCCAATGCGGTCGTCATTGTTATGGTGGGGCTCATCGCTGTATGTGGGTGGGAGGACATTATCTTCATCATCCGTGGCGTCGGCGTCATGGCCCTTCATCTCCCGCTCGAGCTTCTTCGCGCGAAAGTATATTTGCAGCATAAAGTCATCCTGTAGTTCCCGGAACCGATTGATATACTGCTCTTTCTGAATGTGCTCTTCAGCAACGCGCACGCGCTCGAGTTCCTCGAGTCGACATGTGCGCAAAGAATTGACTTGGTCCAGGCGAGCGTCGCGTCGCTGGTCCAGCTGGGCCATGACGGCCTGGTATTCTGGACATTCTTTGTGATAATTAGGGTCATCTTCCAGGTTCCTGGTAGTACGGGTTGCCAATTCTTCTAGTAAAACCTTTTGGACTTTTGCAAGGCTGCGGTAGCTCATCTTGAGATTGAGCTGCCGACGTAAGTCGGTCTCCACATTGATGTCCGGATGCGGTTGGCGCCGCCGACCGGGCAAGCGTCTGCCGGACTTTGCAGGGGCCTCGCCATTGGTCGGTAGGACGTTCTGAAGGCTTTGACTGCCGTCAACATCTGGCATCTGCTCTGGGGAATTCGGGGCAGTACTAGCATCAGTCAATTCAGGAGGTTGGTCGGCCGACGTGTCTGCTGGGGTTTCTTTTGTTTTGCGCTTTTTGCGCGGTTGTTGTTCCGAGACATCGCTTTGTGTACGGGTTAGAACACTGTTCGGGCGTGTTTTGCTGGACTGGGTGGAGTCGTCTGATGCGCGCCTCCTCTTGCCAGCCGTTTTTGAAGTCGCACCAGATACGGCGTTTTGCAGCTCCGGAGTTTGCGTGCCATTCATGGGGGTGTTGTTGTCCAAAGAGCCATTGGACCTTTGCGGCGAACCAGAATCGGACGATGTTCGGCTGCGCTTGGCTGGTCGCGCATCCCCATGGTCAGAAGTGGCATCTTCGTTTTGCGCAATTTCATTAAGAGAACTGCGACGACTGCCAGAGCTTGCGCTAGATGGCCCAGCGGAGCTCGTGTGGTTAGACGTGCCTTTTGCACCGCGGCGCGTTGTCATTTGGAACGGTACTGAAGGAGCAAGGCGAGATGTCTTCGAACCCTGAAGACCACTTCGCTTATTAGACAATGCGCTAGCGGCTATGCCAAGGTTAGCATAACCCTATGGGGAACATGGAGACACCGTTGAAGGCAAGTCGACGTACCTGAGGCTTTGCGAGGGGTAGCAGACACGGCCTTTGCTGCTTTTGGCTTTCGTTTTGGCGGCATTGTGGTGGAATGACACGCCCGTACCAAGATTCTACCACGAGTCAACCATTAGTACGCGATCATGACATAGTCGGAGAAGTGCAGAGCCTAGAGCCACGGCGTAGAAATAGAGCCTAGCACTTACAGATTCAAGATGGTGTATGAAGTGCGTTGCTGACGTTGTTTCTCCGGGCTGATACAGGGTCGTCGTTACAGCTAGCAAGACGTGTCAGCATGCACTCGTCGCAGTGGTTTGAGAGCAAGAAGCAAAAGACAGCCAAATTCACATCTCTTGCAGTGGCAACTGCAGGAAAAGACGCGATTTCCATGGTAGACTTTGCTGAAAATGAGTGGAGACCATGAGCACTTACTGTGGCCAGTCGCTTTAGTCTATGTAGCAGAATGACTTGGTCGACAACGTGATGCGGAGGCCAAGTGACCAAGCCGGCGGACTCATAAAACACTCACCGAATCAAAGGGAAAAACCTCGAATATTTTCCGGCTGATTCACTCGTCCAAATCAAGGGCGCAGCTGCTCGCAAGAGTAGAAGCAACCCTGCAAAAGAAATGCTCCGTGTGGCACGGGTGAGGAGAAGCGCTAGAGTGGCAAGATGCTCATAGAGATGGAAAGATGGCGGTTACGTACAAGTCCGAGTCGCAAAGCAAGTTCCAGAGACTGCCGAAGGTGTTGTAAGTCGTGATGATCCGGCGCATGAAGGTGAAGCTCTTGTGAGATCCTTGGTCAGGCTTGTTGCGCCTTGCCTGATTGGGAATGATCCCACGAATGGCAACCCTCTTCACCTACTACATCAACTTGGGTAGTACAGCACAATAGGATTTGGATGTTCGTGCTATTGTGCGAGTATGCAGACTTGAGCTCCAAGAGGCTTGCAAGGACTGCTAGCCATTACTCCGCGTCGCTGGCATCTGCCTCCTGATGCAGCACCAACCAAAGAGGGTAATGACCTAGATTACGCGCACCGCCCCATCATCCCGGCCGTCATCATATAGACATAAGCACCATGGAGACGACGACGTATTTGAATATTGCTCTCGCGTTCATCTTCACGCTCACTACATGGAAACTTCTTCTCAGGATCATCGCACTCGTCGCATCTTCTGGAAGTTCAAGTTGCTTCATCCAAGTTTCATATTAGCCGCGACGCTAGTTACGTAGACGTCCCGATCCTCCCGAATCGCGACCATCACCCGCCCCTGTCCCCTTCGTATCTCCTTCTTTGGAGAACAAGTTGTTGAAACCAAGTCAAGCGGAACCTCGAGGGCTGGAGAATAATAGAGATTACCGTATCTTGTAGATAATTGAGGGGTCGGTTTGTGCACTCATCTGTGAATCAAACCGAAATTCATCGCGTGACTGTTTGACTCCCCCCTTCACCCGTTGTAGAATGAACAACGCATCCACAGATAGCCTAGAGAAGCGTACGTTTGTAGACATTGCGCCACACCATACTGACGTGTTTGCGGGAACGAGTCGTGCGGGCGCAGCACGTTCGCATTAGACATTTACTGTTGAAAGAAACCCCATGGCGGTTTCATCATACATTACCTTTGTAACGTGCCGTTTTGTATTTCAGATGCACTCGCCAGCATACGTACCGGGTACGACTATGCACTGGACATGACTTGGTAAATTTACAATTATGCTGATACAGTGCGGGAATAAGTCGGACAAGTGCAGTCGCAAGCTGTAAAACGTACCATATGACAATGATGGAGGTCATCGTCTTCTTGCGCCTTGTCGTGGGGGGATCACAAGCTCTTTGAAATAGTTCGCGAAATTCACCGCATCGCGCACGCGACACCTTTGATCAAGATTGAGCCATCTATGCCGAAGTTCAGCGCATTCGCCTACATTGCCGCCAATGCCACGAGGCTAACCATCGTCCCGTCAACGGGTCATTTTCACGCACTCGCCCTTCGCTGCCCCATACTCGCCCTTGGGTCTCCGTGGTGATGAAATTGAAGCCAACTCGGACCTTTCTTCACCGTACTGGCCACATCACACGCCTTGATATCTTCGCCTGGGCCTCCCACGTTGCAGCATCTGCAGCCTCCAGGGATGCACCCTTTCCGAGGTAAGGCGTACCATGTGGGTCGTGGAAGTATTTTAGAAACTCTGGCGTTGGCGTCATGCAGGCCGCGCGAACCCACCCTGCACCTGCGAACTGGAAACGAACTCGAACTATGGGGTCTGAACACAATTGGGGTTTGGAACGTAGATGGGTGTGTGTAGATTTGAACGTATTGGTGGATTGGAGAGAACCTTCTCAGATGCTTAATTCCGTCTATGTTTGTCTTCTAATTGCCAGGCGGCGCTGCCGTCTTTCATATGCCCGGTCTTCCGTCATTGCGCCGATGATGTTTGAATAAAAACTAAACATATAAAGAAATACAATGATTATCTGCTCAACAGCGTGTATGCTGGAGCAAGACGTAGAGTACGTGAACGCTCAAAGCTCGATCAACCCGTGGGCGAGAGCCAATAACAGGAGGGAATAAGACACAAGGAAATATGTACCGGAAGGAAATCATATCGCAAAACCATGCGAAGCATGAACTTTTTACGTGACAAGCGTAATGTTGAGAAAACATTGTAACGCCAGATGTCTGCAAGACCATTATCAGTGATTAGGGGAATGCCTCAAGCTGACTTTTCGGGAGCCGCTCGTGCTGCTTCGTGGCGAAGAGTTGAGCACAAAGTCGGGAATCGGAGGTGTGATGGCACGACTTGGGGGAGACGGGCTTCTTGACATGGAACGAATGCTCGCGCCTGGATCGCGGATGAAACTTCTAGCTTGACGAATGGAGGGGGCGCCTGTCGCTTGGCTCCTCCCACTGTTTGATCTCATCCGGTTGAACATTCGCGAAGGGCATGCAATAGCTTCGGTGGACAAAGGGCTAGCCAGGATGCTAGTGCCAGGAGTCGCCGCTGGAGGTGGCAGGCCTGACGGACTCTCTGACCTGAAAAGCGGATGGATATGGGCTTCGCTGACCGCTGGGCTGGGTGGTCGAGAAATGTCGGGCATCATTTTGGGAGGCGGTGCTAGGTCTTCATCCTCTTCCTCTGGGAGCTCAGACAGGAACGGACCATCCAACGCCCGAGCAGGCGAGTTTGGACGACTACCGGGGATCGGCTCAAGAGTGGTGGTCCGATATGGCGCAGTCTGTTGTAGTACAGACTCGCGTGCTGGAAGGCTGACGCTGCTAGTGTCCCAGCTATCGAATCCGTCTGATTGAGAAATGGTCTCGAGCGACTGTCGGTTGGAGTAGATGCTGTTTGGCGCTTCTCTGGTGAAGGACTTTTGGCTAATCAGGGTTGTGCGCGATGTAACGGGGCGAACTACGTGGCGTAGCGACTCGCGAAATGACCTGAGCGATTGAGACGACCGAGTGGAAAAGGTGGGCGAAGGCAATGCTGTCATAGACTCAGGCCTCTGGTAGGCTCCTGATGGCGGTGTCAACGGTCGGGTGGGCTCTTCCAAGTTGAGTTTGTCAGGTCGCGACGATCGAAACTCGCTCATGACGGAATCACGGGGGCCTGATGTGACGACTGTTTGAACATTTGGCGCCTTGTCGTTCCAAAATGGCGAAGAGTAGAGGGCAAGTTGACTGACGCAAGAGATGACCCATGACGCTATTTGACCAGAGACGTGGCTGTCCCAATTATAAACAGGTGCGGCGGTGGGACCGGCGGTGACCTCTGCCCATCTCGACTTGATCATAATGATCAATACGAGGGTGACGAGTAATGCGGCGCCAGATACGAAGACGATGATGGATACGAGAATGTTTCTTGCCTGGCCTGACCGCTCCAGGGCCCCTCGTATGCTCCCGACATGATGAACAGTGTAGAGACCAATGCAGCAAAAGGAGACGACATCGAATGTGCCTGCTACGGCAGCAATGTTGACTAGCGATGACTGAGTGGAGGAGAAGGATGCCGCCTCCAAGAGGGACAGAATTGAGTCTGCAGCAGTGCTCGACCATGCGACAGCGCCAAAGAGGGCAAGGTAGAATTTCCGCGATTGCAACATGGTTGATTGAGAGGCGTGAGGTTGTTGGCCCGCTCAAACCTCGCCAAGGGGATGGGGAAGTACTGTCAAGGTATAGGCGACAGCAGACGTGAAGTATCCCGAGGTATTGTTGAAGGGGTAGCGGTGTGCTCGTATTATACTACCGGGTTTCCCCAGGCTAGACGTTGGGATTACTGTACTGGGCGTTGGGATTACTGGACTGGACGCTGGGCGGTACCGAGGGGGTGCAGCAGAGTTATGGATGAAAGTGGCCGGTATGCAAGATGGAGCCCCAGTATTGTTGCTGTGGAGAGTCGCGAAACCGAAAGCGCGAGACCAAACGCGTCCGATAAAATGATGCGGCTGTATAGCTGCAGCTACTATAGCCCAGTGTGCTGTCGACGGGGCGCGGCTGATGCGGGTCTAAGCCGGATATAGTAGAGATTGTAGTTAGAACTGGCCGGGCTTGTTGTTACGACTAAGGATTACAAGGACAAGTCGAAGCGAACATGGGTCGATAGGCGGTCGACAGGCGGTCGACAGGCGACGATATGGAAAGAAGAAAAAGACGAGTTGGATAGTGGCGTGCAGAGGGGGAGCGTGTGGGGGAGACAGCAAAGTAATAATGAATTTCGAAGAGGACAGCGAGGGCAGACGTGTGGCCGTCGTTTCGTGGATGGCCTGCATCACGCATAGTACAACGGGGAAGCCCCTACTAGGATCCGCCGGGATGCACGCAGGCATGTATCGAGCATGGCGCTGCACCACCACGCGACAAGGCATGCTTACCGAGTCCTGGCACAGCAGATGCAGTGCCTTGGCCAGGTAATTGAAAGTATGATGCGAGGCACGGCACGGCATCAAATTACTGGCTCTGCGCTCGCAGCTGAGGCGCAAAAGGAAAACAGTTTGTTCTTTCGAAACACGAGCAGCGGCGGCCAATGGAAGCCTGTATCGGGGGCGGAAAGTGTAAAAGGGCTTGCCTGCCTGTCAAAGTTTGTCGGGGTGGAGAAGCAGTAAGGTTAGCCCTTCATTTCCTCACGCGTTGTTTTGACTATGCCGTCGGGCGGAGCACAACAAACACACACCGCACACCTGGCCAGACGATCGGGCGGCCGGACAATTCTTCTGGCAGCATGCGGCCATGGGCAGTGGGTAGTGGCGCCTCGTGCCCGCGGCTGTGCAAGCGCTGGAGTTGCAACGTTTGCGGAGGGTACTGTACCTACGTAGGTAGGACGACCGATAGTCTGATTCTCTTGGGCGCCGAGGACACAGCATATCAATAGGCGATAGTCGCACAATCGTACGACGAGCGTGGGCTAGCCAGCGTTTGGTGATGGCGGTGAAACGAGCCCCTCGCCTCGCCGCGACCCATGGCGACTCATGGCGCGTTGAAACAAAAAGGGACCGGCGCGGAAGGGGAACGCGCAGTGAAAACTGCGTGGGCCGTGGTGATGACTGATGACGCCGTGACGGCAGCCAGCTCGGGTCTTGGGACTTTGGTCTTGGGGTTGTTGACGTGCGCGGCATTCGGTTGTGAGCCGTGTGTGTATGTGCAGCATTGAGGCCAGGACAAGGGCATTGCCAGCAACGCTAGCCGGGGCGGAGATGAAGCTGAAGTCTCGGCGATCGCTGTTGCGTCACTCGTCGTCGTTCTGGCCGTTGAACCCGTTGGAGGGCCCTGAAAGCGCTGAGGAGACAGCATGTCGGGAGGTGTGCTGGCTTCGGACAAGTTGACAGGGTGCATATCAAAAAGAAAGGTCCCGTGACCCGCTCGTGGGGTGGAAAAGCACGACAAATATAGCAAGCGCATTCGTTTTAGTATTGAATAGAGGGGCAATTAGGCAAGCTGCCTGTTTGTTGCATGATTCTTGAGTATTGCTTGCTCGTATCGCGAGTCGTGGTGTTGGTGTTGTTGATGCATCATTCAATACCTACACTGACGTATCGGTACATACTCCATCTGCATGTGCTATCGGTGGTGCGCCACTCCTGCGGCGAATTGTGGCAGTGAAGCGCGCGCAGACAGTTCCGGTCCCGCTCGTGTGCGTGCTGGTTGACGACAGAGATTCTGCCTAGCTAGCTAAACGTTTCCACGGCTCCATATCGCCTCCCAGCAAACGCCTGCGCACTGCACAACGCTTGTAAGAGAGGTAAGCTGCTTGCTACTGCTATTGCTATTGCTACTTGCTTTTTACTTTGCCCTACCACAACCAAAACTAACCCCGCCAAGACGTGCCTCATCGTCCCCACCTCACCTCCAAGAGCACCCCCACCAGCACAGCTCCATCTTCAACCACGCACACTCACAAACTGGCAAGATGAAGATCACGTTCAAGGTAGGCTTTCATTGCAGCCCGCGGTCCTTACCGCATGCCAGCACCGCTGACACATGCCCAGGATCTCAAGCAGAACAAGTTCGTCATCGAGGCCGAGCCTTCGGAAACGGTGCGCAGTCCGCCACAGGGCACAAATTTGTCGCACCGCCAGCTAATTCCATGACAGATTGGCGCGCTCAAGGCCAAGATCCAGGCAGAAAAGGGTTGGGAGGTGCCCCAGCAGAAGCTCATCTACTCTGGTGAGTAAAGGAACAAGAGCGTGCACCGGCCTTGCAAAGGACGTGACATGGCGGCTACAGGCGCTGATACGAGGCAACAGGCAAGATTCTACAGGATGCCAACACAGTCGAGTCGTACAACATCGAGGAGAAGGGCTTCATTGTGTGCATGGTCTCCAAGCCAAAGGCCGCTGCTGGTGCTGCATCGTCAAGTAAAGCCGCGCCCTCGACGCCTGCTCCAGTAGCAGCCCAGACGCCCGCCGCCCCCTCCGCTCCAGCACCCTCATCAAACCCGCAGAATGCGCCAGCTACTCCCTCGCCCGCGCCGGCCCAAGCCTCCGGTGAGCGCTTCAACGACCCCTCCGCTCTGACCATGGGCGGAGAGCGCGAGGCCGCTATTGCCAACATGGAGAGCATGGGTTTCGCAAGGGCTGACATTGACCGCGCCATGCGCGCCGCCTTCTTCAACCCCGACCGTGCGGTCGAGTATCTGCTGACGGTAATACAAGCGACGTGCCTGTCATATTAGACTTTCTGACGTCCTTCTAGGGTATCCCCGAGAGCGCGCTCCAGGAGCAAGCCCAACAAGCACAAGCTCGTGCCCCGACATCGCCCACGCCTGCCGGCAACACAGGTGCTACCGCTACGCCCGCCAACGCACCGTCCGGAGCTGATGAGCCGATGAACCTGTTCGAGGCTGCTGCTCAGGCTGCCAACCGAGATCGCCCGAGCGGTGGCCAGCGCGGTGGTAGTGCTCCTGGAGCCACTGGCGGGGCTGCCCTCAACGCAAACTCGCTCGACTTCCTGCGCAACAACCCTCAGTTCCAGCAGCTACGACAGGTGGTACAACAGCAGCCACAGATGCTTGAACCCATCCTCCAGCAGGTTGGCGCCGGCAACCCTCAGTTGGCGCAGATGATAGCGCAAAACCCCGAGCAGTTCCTGCAGCTGCTTGCAGAAGACGCTGACGAGGATGCACCGCTGCCGCCAGGCGCCCAGGCCATCTCCGTCACCGAGGATGAGCGCGAGGCTATCGAACGCCTGTGTCGCCTCGGCTTCGAGCGCGACCTAGTCATCCAGGCCTACTTTGCGTGCGACAAGAACGAGGAGTTGGCCGCCAACTTCCTCTTCGACCAGCCCGATGATGCCGACGATCAGTAGTGGTTCGCCATGTTCTGTGCCATGATTGTGCGACGTCACCATACCCCATATTGCCATTCCCCCGTCTGATATCACCGTTACAATGGCACGACAAGTACCCCGAAATTGGACCATCTTCTCGAGTCCTCACCCATCACACGGCCCAGTGCAGTTTTTTTTTGGACGCGGATGGACACCTCCCATGGTTCCATTGCTTTACAAGACGAACATGATACCTTCCGAATGCGGAACGAGTAGGAGCTGAGAGGGCTCTTCTCTGGGATGTAGATGCACCAGCGGCCGCCAATTGGGCCGAGTAGTAGCTCATCAATAAAACACATCCCCATCTTCAAGCTGACGTAGTACCTGTGGCAGTGATGATGTATGCTGATAGTGATGTAGCGCGTCATGACATGGTACTCTATGAAAACGGCACTATCGTCATCCCGCGTCGGCGAGAACAATGAACTCCACCAGGGTCGGTAGACAGATCAGCATTACATGATTTGCCATGATGTGAAACATGGCGTTTATGGAATGTGTATTGTGGAGACCCTGCATCAGCTGGCACAGGGGTGGGTTAATCACTTTTCTTCTTTTCTACCCACGTCAAAGTAACGTAGACGAAGCCACCATCACCATGAAAATAGGGGTATACACGGTATATACGGGGTAGACACACACACTTCACACGCTTTGAAAGACACAGGGTCTCTCTGAAGAAACAAAAATTACAAAAGTCGCATTTTCTTCTTCTCTTCTCGCATAGCAAAGATGTGACAAAGAATAAAAAAAGGACACCTAGGCTTCGGCAGCGCCCGCCTTCCTCTTGCGGCTTCTCTTTTTCTTCTTCTTCTCCCCTTCGACGATATTCCTCCCGCCATTCTCATCGTCGCCGTCACCGTGTTGCTGTTGTCCACTGTGTTTTGCCACACCCCCCTCGTGTATTCCTGCCCCGGCTGCCCCTTCCTCACCAAGCAACATCTCAAAGCCACCCTTGGGTCCATCCGGGTCGCCAAAAGTATCCTTTCTCCACTGCCTGATTCTGGCCTTTTTGCTGAGAAACTTCTTGTCCTTCTTCTTCTTGACGGGATCTCTAAACGCAGCGAGTTTCTTGAGGCCGGCGAATTCATTCAGTGCCTTGTCGTCTGCGAGCAAGATATCGCGGGCGGTAAGGCCAAAGGAGGTGGGCGAGGTTTCGCGGTAGCGGAAGCGGGACGTGTGCTTTTTGTTTGGTTTTGCGGCGAGGGCGGCTTCGTATTCGAGGTTTTGGTTTACGAGATTCTCAATCAGGCGGCGGTCGCGACGGGCCGCTGATTTTGCTTCTGCGCGTTCTTGTTTGCGCTTCTTGGAGGATTTCTTGGTCGCGGAGGTGGATTCGTCGTCGGAGTCGCCTGCAGCGGCATCTGGCATTTCTTCGTCGCCTGAAGAGAGCGCTGCGAGATCTTCGTCATCGTCATCTTCCTTGAAATCAGGAACGAGGTCTTTGATGTCGATGTCGTCGTCGTCAAACTTGGGTTTCTTTGGCTTCTTGCCCTTTTTGCCGCCCTGTTCTTCCTCCATGCCTGCGTCACCCTCGCCGTAGTATGCATCACCGAAGCGCTTCTGCATTTCGGCGTCCCATTGCTCATCTGACCAGTCCGCTTCGAGCACATCCTTCCACTCATCAATCTTGAAATCCCTGCCATTGAGACCTCCAATCTGGCGGATCTGCTTGACCTTGTTCTCCATCTCTTCAACCTTGAGCTTACGCAGCCGTGCAAGATCTTGCTCCTTCTCCCGCCTTTCAGCTTCTCTCTTGGCTCTTGCAGCCTCCCGAGCCTTTCGTCGGCCACTCTTGTCGTCTCGGCGAACAGTAGTGCTTGCGACGGCATCACGCGCATATGTCATGATTTTCTCGTTGGCGCCTGTGGTGTCTTCAAAGTATAGGTTGTACGAGTTTTCCCATTCGTCGGCAGCGGCGTCTTCGTCAGATTCGTCTTCGTCGAGTGGCTGGAAACGGGCAGATTTGGTGGGCACCCAAGCGCGCGAAGCCATAAAGTTGGACAGAAATGTTTCTGGGTCTTGGTCGGCCTTTTCTACATCCTCGACTGTGATCTTGGGACGGTCATTCTTAGTCTTCTCAGGCTTCTCCTTTGCGACGATGAAATCATCGTCATCGTCACCATCTGCAGCATCAAGTGCCTTTACGAGCTCCTGTCGTGCTTCCTCCTGCTCCTGTGCATATGTCCTTGGGGGCGCATCCTCTTCGTCGACGTCTTCGGTGGTGTATTTGCCCTCGAGGAGGTTCTTGGTGTGGTAATCTCTCAGTGTCATGGATGGCTCCTTCTTCTTCTTTTCGTCTGTGCCATTTTCGCCCTCTTCGGGTTCACGGTAGAATTTGACTTCCTTGTTGTAGATGCGGGGATCTTTTGCGCGGAGAGCCTGGAGCGTCGCATTGACCTCTTCGTCAAGAGCCTCGTCGAGCAGCTCGGCAGCGTCATCTTCCTCTACACCTTCCTCGGAATCTTCCGAATCGCCGTCATCGGCGTTTGCGGGCGCATCGCCTTTGCCGTACTTCTCCTCCACTATGCAAATCAGTCATGCACAAAACTATGAATGGAGCTGACATACGTCTGTGAAGTTCTGCGCGCTTCTTGTTGTACTCGAAGCGGCGCGCATAATCCTCATTGACCTTGAGCGACGCTCCGCCCTGGTCGTCGTCGTCGCCTTCGTCGTCGGTGTTGTCGAGCAGCTTCGCCTTCTTGGTCGGGGGCTCAGCATCGCTATTCAGCTCGCGCTTGACGCCTTTGGCATGCTTCTTCTCCTTGGTGCCTGCCATTGCTGCTGCTGGTGCGGAGGGTGAATGTGGACGAGCTTGCGGCATCGTCACAAAATTTTGGTGGAGTAGGCGCTAGTTAGCGCGTGAACCCTGGCGTTCGCCGCGGCAGTGACGACGGACCCCAGCAACACCACGGAAGTGCGCACATGGAAGGGGCTGCGTATATGATATTTGTCTGCGCCTGCCGCCATGTACGATAGCGTCTATTTTCACATTCTTCCCGTTTTGTTATAGATACCCATTTCTATAGTGTTCAACAATACAGCCGCCGACAGTATGGCGGAAGAGAAACCGCCGCAGCTCAGCATAGAGCCCGTATCCAAGCCGCTTGATCTGATGTCGGTTGAGAGCTATCGGACGTACATTACTCTACTGACACGTGCAGACCCGTCGTAATCAAAGAAGCCGCTCTTGATTCTCCCACATTTCGCGCCACAGCTGTCCATTACGGTGACCAAATCGAACTGATTGAACGATGGCTCGATGGCTTCATCCGCGCCACCTCGAAGCTTGCCTCAGAATGCAACACCATGCAGATGCTTGTAGATACATATATCCAGACATCACACCCGCCACTGCAGCTCTCCGAAGCCGTCGTCGACCATGACTACACCGTCCTGGCCCTTAAGCGCTTCGGCGAGGGCGCACGCGAGTTCTGGAATAGCACACTGCGAAGCATGAAGAAAGCAGAGACGGCCATGTGCGAGCCACTGCGAGCTTTCCTTCAAAACGACCTGCGCGTGCTAAAGGAGGCGCGCAAGAACTTGGACCAAACACAACGAGCCTTTGACGGAGCCATTGCACGTTATGCGGGACAAGTCAAGACCAAGGAGCCGTCATCGCTAAGGGAAGACGCCTTCCAACTGCACGAGGCGCGGCGGGCGTACCTCACAGCCAGCATGAACTTCTGTGTCTTGGCCCCGCAAGTGCGCTTGACGTTGGACAAGCTTCTGGTCAAGGTCGTCCACGAGCAATGGCGCGACATGAAAAACGCCACAGACGCATCAGGCAAGGGCTTCGCTGCGTGGACTTCGGATGTAGAGCGTGTGCGCGGATGGAGTAAGGAGATGGAAAACGGCGAGCGCGTCTTTAAGAGAGAGCTCCATCTAGCACGACAGCAGATTGAGGGCGCCGCCGAAACCAGCGCACGACCATCACGAGACCTAGACTCATACGCTGCCTCCACGGTTCCCTATCTCGGCACCGCGCCATCGTCGGCGAATCTGCAATCCCCAGCGAAGCCAGATTTTGGGATTGAGAAGGCTGAGAAACAGGGCTGGCTCTTCCAGCGCACAATCACAGGCAAGCCAGCGAGGACCTACTGGGTCAGGCGGTGGTTCTTCGTCAAAAATGGTATCTTCGGTTGGCTTACACAAGGCACTCGGTCTGGTGCAGTGGAAGAGTCTGAAAAGATTGGAGTGTTGCTATGCGGCATCCGACCAGCGTTTGCAGAAGAGCGTCGCTTCTGCTTTGAGGTCAAGACCAAGGACACCACTATCCTGCTCCAAGCCGAGACTCAGAATGACATCACCGAGTGGATCTCTTCGTTTGAGGTTGCCAAACGCAAGGCCCTCGAAGACACATCCAAAGACCTGTCAGGTGCTGGATCTATTGACGCTGCATTTTCCATTAGTCCTCCCATTGCCCCTGAATTCGCCGCCAAGACTTCAGAGGGAAACACTGACGACGTTGCGGGCACGGATCGCCCAGACTCGCTGGGTTTGCCCGGTAATGATGGTCTTGCAGTACGCGGTAGTTTTGATGTGCCAGCTCGGCGAGGCACTACAGTCGAAGGCGATAGTAGCCGACGCGACCATACTACGAGGATCATGGAGAAATTAGACCTGACCCGCAAATCAACTGTAAGCCCCCAGCTGAGTGGAAGCAACCCTTCTTCCGCCAGTGGAGGCATCGCTTCTCTTATTTCCGCGAGCCTTGCTTCAGCTAGTCATAACATGGTACAGGTCGGTCAAATCGCTGCTCCCGCCCCTGGGCTCCCAGATACTCGACTCGTCATGGGCCAGACGCTTCCTTATACCAGTCTTGCGCCTTCTACGCTGGCCAGCCCGCCTGCACCGACGAATCTTAGTAAAGCTGCCGTTGCGGTAAGTGGTGAACGAGGTCTTGGTACTGGACGTTCGGGCAACATGCCTGGTGGGCTCATGGCCAACTTGTGGGGTTCCGTCAACTGGGGATATGTCAATATACTTGGACGCGAGGAGGACCTTAGTACTCGTGATCGCAGCCAGTCCGGACCCCCAAGCCCTATTAACCCCTCTCCAGTTGAATGGCCAAACAATGAGAAGGCCGATGTAGCACCCAAACCCACCGTTCCAGCTGGTGCTGCACATCGCAAGTCAGCCAGCATGGGCGGACCTGTTCCAGCCATTGTCAAGACGACACCCGATGAAGAGGATTTCCCCGCCGACTACCCTCTTGCTCTACGGATGCAAGATGCACAATTCCGTATATTGTTTCCTACAGTACCACGAGCTGAGAAGGTGGTGCTGGTGTTCCGCGCTGTGTGGAATCCTACAGAGCAGCAAGAATTCCCAGGTCGTGTCTACGTCACAACCAAGGATGTCTACTTTTATAGTAATCACTTGGGCCTCGTCCTTGTCACGGGGATCAGCATGGCTTCTATCGATGAGGTTACTGCGGCGCCCGGCAAAGACTGCGACTTCCTGTTTCTCCATTTCAAGACTGGATCTAGAGATGACGGTGCAACCAGAATTACTGTCAAGACCTTCCTCGAGCCTTTGAAGCTGCTTTTGCGTCGCATGAATTACCTAGTGCGTAATACATCCACCGCACAAACTCTTGAGGAAACAATCAACAGGTTAATCAGATTCGAGGCGGATGATGGCCACCACTCCGCTGGTGAAGATGGCTGGGAGGAGGTGTCACCAGACACGCCCATGGACCCAGGATATGGCGGAAAGAACATGAAGACCAGTCTGCGCATCGATGGTAATTTGTTCGGGCCGTCAGGGGCCAGCGCCGCGAAGAACGCGGCCAAGTTCAAGTTGCCGTCTCAACCTGTAGTCTTCGCCCCCGCTGGGATGACAGAAGTTGCGGTAGAGAAGGACTACGAAATCAGTGCAAAAGCAATGTTTCATATACTGTTTGGAGACAAGAGTGCAGTCTTCCAACTGCTGTACCGGGAACGAAGAGCATCGCGTGTTGTCCAGGGCCCATGGATAACGAGCGAGAAGAACCTTCAGCGACGAGACTTTGAGTACGAAATCCTGCAGCCCAGTAAGAACGGTGCTGTTGTAATCAACGACTACCAAGTGATCGAAGTCATGAACGATCACCTCTGTTACGTAGTCTCTGACCGGAAGACTCCTTGGTATTTACCAGGTCATGAGCGGTTTGTGCTTCTCAGCAAAATCGTCATTACACACGTCTCCAAAGCGCGCTGTAAGCTTGCTTTGCACACCAAGGTGGACTGGAAACGCAACCCTCGATTTGCGAAGAAGTTAATTGAGCGTCAAGCTCTGCAAGACATGGAACTGGAGGCTCAAGACCTTGTTGATGTAGTCAATGACCAAGTTGCAAGGCTCGGTCATAACAGAAGTACGAACAAGGTTACTGGCATCTTTGGCCAGATCGGTGTTCAGACTCAAGCTGTGCAATTAGATGCACAGGATATCCCACCTCCAAACCGACCGCGCAAGTTTAAACTGCGGCCACAGACAACAGCCTCGTTCATCGCGCAGCTCATCGGTAACATCGTCATCAGCGTGTTGTCAACAGTCATGAGCTGGATACTGGCCATTGTCGCCGGGCTCGGAAAGGTCATCTCAGCGCATAGTCTGCTCTTTGGCCTTTTGCTAGTCAGCGGTGGAGCGAATTTCTTTTACACCTCTAGAGACAGCTGGAGCTGGTGGAATGAGCGTAACGCCGCCAACTATCTGTCGCGGCTAGGCGTAGGCCCATCGACTACAATGACGCGTTCCATATACATCCGCGACATTGAAGAGTCGTTCCTTAATACTAACACAAGCATCGGGTTATCAGTGCCTCTATCTACCACTGATAACAAATGGTACAGTCAATTCGTACCACAGTCTCACTTGTGCTAACCCTAAATAGCCACCAAACATTCACCACCCTCCTCAACGACCCATCATCGATAAATCCATCACAATCCTTCTTCAGCCCCTCCACGCAGAGCACGCGGCGCCTCCACCGCACACGACAGAACCTCGGCACTCATCGCCACGACCTGCTCGTCGCGCTCCGTGTTGTCAACCGCATCGAGAAGGAAGTCGTAGAAGCAGAGTACGAGAATTGGTTACTTGATGAGACGCACAAGTGCAGTAAAGTTGGGAAACTGCTCGAGACTGCGGCGAAAAAGGGAAAGGAGAAGCATGTGGAGGATTGGGTAAAGGGATACTGTGGGGATTGTGAGAGAAGTTTGAAAGTGGTGGAACAGGGAAGGAAGGGGCTGATGTGAGTTCAGAATAGGGACGTTGTAATCATTGCATAGCGTGGGTGTTAAGTAACATGGAGGGGTAATGAATATACGGTATTTGGTATGGCCCGGCATGATCGATCTCCTGGATGAGGTGGGTTGTAGTTTCTGTTTGCATCGCTGTTGCCTTGTGCGGGGTTTGCGTCAATCCTGCACAGCTTCCTGTTTGCCATCGCTACCGGAGACTTCAAGCCCCGCTCTCATTCGTTCGTTGCAGTCCGTGTTTACATATCATCGGCTATCCGCGCTGTAAACAACTAGGATCTTACTCCGATCCTCCCGACTTATGTATTGGCACCCAGCGCCTCTCAGCCACACCCTACTTTACCTCAAGCCGCGCTAAACAGAGTAAACGATGTTGGGCACACCCCTCAACTGTGAGCTAGGAGAAGGCGAGGTTGTAGTGAACAACGACCTGCGCATCTCCTTCCACCGTACGATTCGAGTTCCAGACAATGATCAGAAGTCCTTTCTTCCACCGGACTTGGGTGCTTATCCACTCAAACCCATACAGGCTTACAGCAAGAAAATGCCAACGGAGATGACTTCCAAGGGTGGCCTCTTCTTCCCTATGTATCGTAAGTACGATGGCGTGAGGAATGTTCTAAGACAAGACTGACTTCACACAGAGAGTGAAGCGATGTGGATCAACTTCGAATGTCGCAAATCTCAGCACTATATAATCAAGATCTACGTGGGCGGTGTCAATGCCATCTCTGGCGAGGCTGCAGTGGAGGACGCTGGCACGAAGCTCCGTCGCCAGGCGAAACTAGCAAGGCAGCACGCCAACGTTGACGCCGCTTCGTCTCTCCAGGACTACATCATCGTTCCAGGTCAAAAATGGCTGGATGGTATCGCGGAAGCAGACGGCAGCGTTCGACAGTTTGTGGCTATGCCGTTCGGCAGTGGCTATTCCGTCGAGTCGCAGGTCACCGGCAAGGATGCTGCTGGTGGCATTCAGTTCGAGATCACTCCATACAAACCGCCTCAAGTGGCTTCCAACACTCAACGCTCTGCAAATGGTCATCAGAAAAGCTTTTCGATCTTCGTAAAAACGTTGACTGGAAAACACATAACTTTGAGCGTCTGGAAGGAAGACACGATATCCATGATCAAGGACATGATCCAAGTGAAGGAAGGCATCCCTCTTAGTCAACAGCGCCTCATATTTAACGGTAAACAACTAGAAGGTAATTTTGCTCGTCCATTCAAAGGTCGTCACTAATACGTATTCTAGATGGACGCACGCTTGCTGATTATGGAATTGAGAACGTATGTCTAGTTAAACTCAACGTCTCAATTGATCATCGCTGATTTTTCCCAGGAATTCACTATTGTTCTCGTTCTCAACCTCCGTGGCGGAGGCACTGGTCCACCCCTAGAGATGGCCGTCGCGGCTGGCGGGAAAATCAAGCAAGGGATCGTGGCAGACAAACTTGCAGACCACTGGCAAAGCGCTCGGACAACCGTCCTCAATGTTCAGATCCTAAACTCTGCCGTCTACCGTACAGTCACCGGCGAAGATCCTCCCACGATGCCAATCGATGCGAAGACATATGCGCGACACGGACTACCCTTCTACGACCTGTACGAGGAGCAGAGCGGCATCTCCGGCGACTTCAGCATGATCAAGTCTATTGGTCAGATTGATCACAAGGAGGATGATACTGCCACACCCAAGATTGTTAAAATCGGTGAGCAAGCGACTCAACTTCGCGTCGGCCTGACGAATCCCAATGGTCCTCTTCGCGGATTCAGGACTGCTAGCGATCTCAAAAAGGAGTATGAGGGATTCCATGTCGTCCAATTCTAGATTTGCTCACATCTTCACGAAGACGGGTAATTCAGCAGTATAGGGCGACGGAAGATGAATCTGATAGTAGGGTAGCCAGCCCAGTTACATGAATCATGTAACATTCCTTCTAATTTTTCCCATCGTGACATCCTCAGTTACATGAGCGATATAACATATGCTCCAACTTTTCTCATCGTGATATTCATGATCTTTTCGCCCAGTCGGAGTCGTCATCGTTGTATGCCAGTTCATCGGTACTACACACAGTCAGCCCTCGCCTCACCCTCCCCGCCCCTCCTTCTCACTGCACATACCTTGACAAAGCCAATATCCTTGGCATGTTCGCGGAAAGCCTGACGACTCATGTTGAGTCCGTACTTGCGAATGATACCAGACTTTTTCTTATCGCCGGTAACGACACTATACACAAACACACCATTATATCAGCATTCATTTATTCAACCTCTATCCCTCAACCAACACCACAAATTCCTTCTAATTTAAATCTGGGATACGGGCAAAACTAACCAGCCAATCGAGGCTTTGCCGTAGTTCTTGGGACGCGAGTTCCAAATCGATTCGTGCGACATGGTGACGGGTTACGCGGTGTCGAGACAACGATGGAGGGTCGGGTGGGTTGAGACGATGATTTTTTTTGTGAGTTTTCGGATGTGTGGGAAAATATGTGAGGGTTGTGTGCGTGGGCAGGGGTGGAGGGGTAAGGTGGTAGTACCCTGTTGGCCTGAGGGGTGATCAGGGTACTCTCGGGGAGGAGGAACGTCAAGAGCGGGTTTGTTTAGGGTTTTTGAGATGGTAGGATCGAGAATGGGGGGAATGCTGTGGGTTTGGGTAGTAGAGGTATGTGGTGTGTAGATGGGTGGGGTTGGATGAGGGATAGGTTTCATAGGGAGGTTGGTTGTTGAAGGGCATGGTGTTGTTGGGGGGGTTTGTATGGTTCTGGTACGTAGGTATGGGAAGATGGGAATATGGAAATATCTTTACTAATTGGGTTAAAAGGGAGTGATGAAATGTAATGGTAGCTGGCCGTGGAGTTTTAGAGGAAATATATGGCATCTTGTTGGGCTTGATTTTGATGCCGTGCTTGCTTCTCACCTTCGGCAAAGACCACCACTACCTTTTCTTGCTATTTTTCTTACTAAAGAGGGGGAAATGACATGGTACAGCAACTAGGATAGTCTGACATTTGTGCTAGACAGTATTTGGGTTTTGTGAAGAAATGTGAGATGGCTAGAGCAGATATCTTGGAAAAGAGAATGGAACCGGTTATGCGGTTGGAAAAACAAGCCGTCATGACTCACAAGAAAGGACAATGTCGGATCGTGAGTATCGGTAGAGACGTCGGCTGCTTGACACTTCGGCCCGACTTCGGCCCACCTTGCGCAGAGCTTAGGTGTACCTTCGTAGCAGCTATGTTCGTAGACAATCAATAAGAATACCAATACCAGTCACCAGAAGAACCTCGTTGTTGTTATTCACCCGTACGATCGTACAAGGCCTACCAACAGACAATGACATTGTCACAACTCCGTCAGCTACGGAGGGTTCCCGTGATGTTAGAGAATGTTGTTCTGAGCATTGCAGCACACGCGCAACATATGACCTCTATAGTGGCGCTTTCGAAAGAATCGATATCTAAAATAGGCAGATACAAGAACATGTGCTGCCTGTCCTCGATTGATGTTATCCTGCATGTTATAGTAGGTCTCCGACTTCAGCCCAGTCTTACTGACATGTCAGACTTAGGTCGCCTCGGGCTGACTTGTAAGCTGCGCACCATCAGCTGCACGTGCAAACGCTGTTCCTGAGTTGTATATCTGCTTTAATGTGAACAAGGACGCTGCAATATCATGGGCGCATGTGATTTTCGATGAAAGCAGCTTGCTGGATATGGCAAGGCGCTGTGCAGTCATACCCTAGAGAAGTTACGTGCAGTGCACCGCAGGTTTGCGCCCACGGATCTCGTATTCCAGAACAACATTACCGTGCTACAGCCTAATCTTTGTTCTCAAAGTTCGGTTCCCACGTGAAAGTTGGATGTTGCGACCTGAGGCTGTCTCGGCATGCCAGCCAAGATAGCGGGCAGATTGTCTTTACCAAGACGGAAGACCACAAGAGATACAAAATTTCCGGAACACGCATTCTTGGTAGATCGCTTGGATGACGCCTGTCCAAAGGCCATAAGATTCCACCGTAGATGCCCACGCTAGAAGAGATGAGGCCGGATCATGGTCATCCGGGCAAAAGGGGGTCGGTCGACCACGAAAGACTTTTGACTTTGCCAACCGCCTTCTGCTAAACAACGTATAGGGGTCTTGTGGCTATATAGGCTAAAGAGAATACGAGAAAACATGGAGTTGTGAAAGAGGTTGTGCGGTCTTATACGGGCGTCTAAAGGGTTGAGGTATATTGAATGGCGGCCGCTTTCGGGTGCTCGCTTCAGTTGGAAAGCCCACACTATCCCGTCGGACTCTCTCCGATATCGTCGAGACCCGGCTTCGTATGTGCACGTACGTATCTTCGGCTTATCTGCGTGTTTATTGACGACCGTGGCTGTGTCCGAACGGCGCGGTTGATGCCACAGCAATCTAGCCACAGTCAGCATTCGGTCAGCACTTGGATATGCCAAAGCAGGCCGAAAAGGATGCAGATGTTCCAAGGCGATTGCGCATCCTTGCCTTGTTTATCTTTAACCCTTGGACTTGAGCCACGCGAAGTAGCGCCACACTTCTAGACGTGATTGACCCGACTAGCCGTGCAGGATGCGCAGCGCACAAGACACACGCCGTGGACCTGGACTGCACGGTCTTTTCCCCAGCTCGCACATGGCAATGAACATGGTATGACAAAAAAATCCCCACGATCGAGCTGTGTCTCACATAACCTAGTGCTAGAGTGAATCCACCCTCCCCATTATTTCATCACAGGGGAAAAAAAAAATCTCGTCGGGAAAGAAGGACATATCAAGTCATATTACCGCGCAGGCGAATAAGTACAAACAACCAACGACGTCCATGGATGGCCGAAAGGGCCCAGAAGCTGCCGAACAAGAACAAGTAAATCACCGAGCCCGTGCGTGTGTGGCGCGAGGGGGGGACAAAATAAAACGAAATTGCGATGGGCAGTGACGAAGACAATTACCCCTGCCCACAGTGATACAAGCTTCCCGTCCAAGAATAGCCAAGCGCAGTTATGGGACCGAGACGCGATCCAGACGGATGAGCTATGAGGGTACGGTACCGTTAGCAGCAGCGGCACTGCGGCAGTAACAAGAGAACAGCACAAGGAGAGTTGCCACCAGGGTCCCTTTTTGCGCAAACTTTGTATTGCCCAGCCGATGCAAACGTGCCGAACGTGTTTTGTTTTTGCGCCTTCGCCATCGCTGGCTGCTGCTGCTGCTGCTACTTACGGTACTGCGTCCTCTGCATCCTACCGAACAGCTAGTGAACCAAGAACCTTAACCTGACTCCGCGACACGAGTATTCTTGTCAATCAAGCCAAGCTCGAGGTTATTGTTTGGGGCTGTGACGGTAGGGTCGTTCGCTGCTGGACGCGGCGCGGCACCTAAAGAAAGCGGCCGGCCGCACCTGTCTTAGCACACAGAAGGCTGCTTGTGCTCGCGATGATGACAGACTCCAATTTCAACAGCTGCCTGGGGTCTGTCATTCTCAACGTCCATGTCAGTTTGGGGAGGGGGGTGGAGGTTCGCGCTGATCGTTGGATCATGGATCGACAGTCATTGTTAGTAGGCATTGATGGCAAATGGGTCTCGTCCTTTGTATCGTCATCGGTAGTCGCGGGCATACACACAAGCAAGCAGTGATGCAGGGATCGGCTCATGAATTCGTAGATGTGTAATTCTCAACACAGGAAAGAACGCTGATGCACCCTAAATTGGACAGGGATGATAAATGGTGGTATGTACCATAAGATACAAAGAAGAGAATATGTTTCGGTCCCCGCGCCGAAACGCGATGCCAAGTCCCCAAGCCGCCCTGCCATTTACAAAAGAATGGAACCCCTCCCCAAATCCCCCCTCATGATAATTTGATGATGAAATGTGCTTATGCGAGATCGCAGGCCCACATGTTCATGTCGCAGCTGCAACCAATCTTGCCGTAGTTGGTGCTGATGAGGATCTCAGCGTGGTCGGTCTGACCGTTGTATTGCCATCCCTTGGAGGCCTTGTGGCAGACACCATCAAGACCCTGGAGCTGGGGCTTCTCGCAGAGCCAGCCACCGAGGTAGCATCCACCGAAGCCCTCGAGAGTGCATTCTCCAGGAGCCATAACTTGGGCCATGGTTCCTTGGTTGAGCTCGTGGACCATCGCACCACCAGCATCCTGGATGGTCTTCAAAGCATTTGCTTGGAGCTTAAGGTCGATCTCGAGCGCGGGAAGACCCATCTTTGAGCGCCACTCGAGGACAATGTCGATGTATCCACCGGAGGAAGGAGCCGGAGTTGCGGCAGTGGCGGTGGGAGCGGGAGGAGGAGTCTCGCTGGTAGGAGCAGGAGGAGCGGGTTCGGGAGTGTACTCGGGG